GAGTATGGTTTTCAGATACATTTGATGAAATTACCTTTACAGAGTCCCAGTAGCCAAATGAGCTTGTATACTTGTAGGTAAAGGCAAGCATTTTCTGGGCAAGGTGTGCTGATACTGCATCACATGTCTCAAACAAACTCACGCACCCACCAGTTTCATATTCAATGTATATTGTACCATGTGGATTTTCTGAGCTCCATGTACAGAAATTATTGGTATCAAAAACTTCTCAAATTCTTACTAATGAGAAAAATCATAGAACCTAATATATCTGGTGGGAAAAAAGTCATTCATGCACAGCACATAGACACTTCTGGTGACCACTTCAGTGTAACTGGTCTTTTTCAGCCACCAAGTGGCTAAGTGCTGGCAGCTAACCCTCCTCTGACCCTGTGAGGGCTCACAGTTGCTCTTGATTTATGGAATGGTTTTCATTATTAAGTGGTACTGACAAAGGAAACAGAGCCCTAAAATATGCGCTTCTTTTGAAATGTAATCTTGAAATAAGGCATTAGCCAGTTTGCCTTGGTTTCATGCTCAAATGTTGCATTTTGAATTATGAAAAATGAAGGAAAAGTCATAACGTGTATCATTTGTAAATTATTCAGATCTGTTTCAAATATTTCTCCCACTTCACTTCTCAGGCGCTCAACTGCATCAATTTCCTGCTCATCTTCCTCACTCATCTCTTCCGCATCTTTTGTAAATACAATGTCATCATCATCCTCATCAGGCTCCTCATCATCATCTTCTCTAACACCAACCTAAGAAAGAAAATATTCCCTTTCACTACACACTCAGCATATGTGCCAAATGACACTGGTAACACATCAGCAGGACCATTTTGTAACAACTTGGTATTGGTTGGTATCCTGTAAAAACAGTCATCTGGTAACAGGAAAATTTTAGATATCTGGCATTCAAGACTGACACCACAGCAACCCCATTCATAAATAAATAGATGAGTATTAAATGCTATTAAATGTGTAGAGTTGTCAGAATGCTACTTATTTTTGATGGTCTTCAGAAACAATACATAATGCAGCTCAAAGAGCATAGAAAACATATTAACAATATTAACTGGGATGAGATCAGTTCCTTTATCTGTAAAATAGTAATAAAAGTGAGGTAGCTTACAAGGCTTAGGGGAACATTAAATGACTTAACATAGATAATTTTCTTTATTCATTCATTCACTGATAGGCATTTAGGCTGTTTTAAATGACTTAATAAATGGGAAGCAAAATCCAGCTATGATGGTGCATGCCTGTAATTCCAGCACTTGGAAGACTGAGGCAGGAGGATTTCAAGTTCAAGCCCAGCCCCTACAACTTCATGACTTAGTGACTCTGAGACTCTGTCTCAAAATAAAAAGTAAAAAAGGTCTGGGAATATAGCTCAGTGGCAGCATGTTCCTGGATTCAGTCCACACTACCTGAAAACACACACATACACACACAGAAAGTTCCCAGAAAAGTCTGTGGCACATGATGAACTATTAGAGTCATTTGGTATAAAGCACTGTACTGATAATGTCACTGCCCTGACCTTTTAGGAGACTATAGCCTGCCTGAGAAACAGCATTATTTCATGAATGATTCTTAAAGATCACGGCAAGAATTTGGTACTAAGTTGTGTACAGAGACATAGAATTTAAATGCTATTCTTCCTTTTGCACACACAAAAAGATGTTTATTATGTGTCCCCTCTGCCCTGCCTCCACATTATTCTCCCTGCAGTAGTCCTTGTCTCAATTGGAGCTTGCCCGGCCCAGAAGCCTCCTCCTGGGTGCTGGAAGTGGCTCACTTCTTCTGTGCTGGGGGTGATGGAGGTACAGTGGCCTGGAAGCCTCCTCCTGGGTGATGGGAGTGGCTCACCTCCTCTATGCTGGGGGGGTGTCTTCTCTTTTGGAAGGGGGGAGGGTGTTTGCGCCCGTGTAGCTCACCTCCTCTGTGCTGGAGGGGGGGGGGGTACATCGGTCCAGAAGCCTCCTCCTGGGCACTAGGAGCAGCTTACCTCCTCTGTGCTGGGGGTGGCAGTGGAACAGCAGCCTGGACGCCTCCTCCTGGACCTGTCTTTCAAATGAATACCCGGCCCTTGTTACACCACCACCCTGCTTGGCCAACCACACTCAGTCACACCGGACATTCTCCTATGTGTGTCTGCTGTCTGTGAATGCAACAGGGTGAAAACACATCTCTGCCCCATTGGCATACACACTAGACTGAGCAAGGCTCTCCTATGGCCCCAGAAGGGTGTCTCTCTCTCTCTCTCTCTCTCTCTCTCTCTCTCCCTCCCTCCCTCCCTCCCTCATCCTCCCTTCCTTTCTTTAGAAACACAGTTACTTTTCTGAAATGGCTTTAGGTTCATAGCAAATTTGAGCAGAAGGTAGAGAGTGCTCCCAGGTCACTGGCTACACTGATAGATGACAGATGAATGCATGCACTCATGCACAGCCAGAGTGTTCCAGGAATCGCTGTCACCCCAGCCACCTCAGTATTGTCCTGCCTCTAGGACCTAGCCATATTTTTAATCTGCTCTAATCCTATTTGTTCATCTCTGAGGATGGGAGCCAGTGTTTCCCCGTTCGGGAAGGCTGACTGAAAATGGTTAGATCAAAGATGGGCACAAGCGTGACCACTGGACAACCAACCCCGCCCTCCCTCAGAATCCCCTACCTGCTGGACACCAAAAGGCTCGTCCCTCAGCACCATGACAGTTGATGGTTGCCATGACAATGACCCAAAGAAACTCAAAGAGGGGCTCCACCAAGATTCCCAAAAAAACTTCCACCCCATTTTCAGAAAAGACATGACTACTTCTCCCCTCCTTAAGCCCACCAATGCCACCCCCACCAACGCCCCCCCCCACACACACACACTTCCTTTTCTCCTACTTCAGTCACCCCCCAGCAAGGCCCTCCTTCCCTCCCTCTTCTCCACTTCCCTCCTGGGCCAAAAAGCCTGTCTGTCTGCAACTGTGAATGGCCTCCCACTTCTCCCATTTTAGGCCAAGAACAGAATTTCCTCCTCGGTCACTGGTTCCACAACCCCATGAGGGGGCAGAAGGACCTAGCGTGGGGGTCAGAAATCCATAGCATGAAATTGGACTAAGGAAACAGACCGGTCTTCACACTCCCCATCCAGAGTTCACAAGAGGGCTCGCTCCCCCATCCATCCCTGGCTTTCACCAACCAATGCTGCCTGAGCCCTCTGGGATTTCAGTTCTGGCCTTCCCAGGGCACACAGTGCAAATTTCATGTCACCCACAAATTCAAGCCCAGCCTGGGCAACTCAGTGAGACCCTGCAGAGAGAGAGAGAGAGAGAGAGAGAGAGGAAGGGAAGGAAAGGCTGGGGAATATCATTCCAAGTGGTGGAAGCCTTGGATTCAATCCCCAACTGCCCCAGATACATACAGAAAGACAGAGGGACAGACAGAGGGACAGACAAATAAACAATAACCCTAAAGGCAGTGCCAGAGAAGGCCCTGGCTCCTGTGCTCCATTTTGCACTCGTCTCATCTCACCTCTGTGAGGCGGCGCCAGGGGAAAACACTCTGCATTTGGTCCCAGCCACCCAGAACAAAGGTCCCTCCTAGGCGCTCAGAGTCCCGGTTAGGACAACAGCAAGGGGAACACCCGAGGGCCTCCGCCACTGGGGGCCTGGGCTGCCTCTGTGTCCATCTCCTCTCCAGCACTCTGCCCCCCTCACCCCCAACACAGGGGCTGCACTTCCCTCCCGAGTGAGTGCGCTCAGTCGGGTCAGCCAGCTCCTCTCTGGCACCTCTCTTGAAGCAGCTTAAAAAGCCTCTCTGTTTTTCCACCCACCCTCATGAAGATCTTCCAGGATGGGAAGATACAGGACACATGAAGGCATGGGTGACCCTGTCTCACACACACACACACACACCTTGGTGCCCTTTCCCTCAGCAGTCTCCCACCCGCAGAACAACAGATGCCACTAGGCCCCAGGCTAGGTTGGAGCACCAGGGAACCCCAGTGGGACAGGCCAAGGCTTCCTTGCCAGACCAGAGTGAGGGAGGGGGCACACCCACATCCACCACTTCCACTCACACCCCATCAGGGGACATGTGCAAGTCAGGATGAGTGGGCATACACTTGGACAAACGGGGACCTCAGCCAGGCATGGCACATGCCCATCATCCCACCACTCACTCCGGAGGCTCAGGCAGGAGGATTGACACGAGCTGAAGGCCAGCCTAAGGCTAACCCTAACCCTAATCCCTAACCCCTAACCCCTAAGCCAAACCCTAATCCCAACCACAACCACAACCCCAACCCCAACCCCAGCCCCTAACCCTAACCCTGACCCTAAACCCAACCCTAACCCCTAAACTGTAACCCTAACCCTTAACCCCTAACCCTAAACCTTAACCCCAACCCCAGCCCTAACTGTAAGCCCTAAACCTGACCCTAACCCCAACCCTAAACCCTAAACCCTAACCCTAATCCTAACCCCTAACCACTAACGCTAAACCCTAACCCCTAAGTCTTAACCCTAAACCCTAACTCCTATCCGTAACCCCAACCCTAACGCCAACCCTAACCCCAACCCTAAACCTCACCCCTACCCTAACCCTAACATCAAATACATGAAATCACACTCTGATCTCATAGGGCTTTCCTTCAAAAGATTCATTAAGGGCCGGGGATTTAGCTCAGTGGTTTCACCACCTGCTACGCAAGCACAAGGATGCGAGTTCATTCCCCAGTACAAAAAAAAAAGATTCATTAAAATAAGATTGGCTAAGATACAGATGTTTTGCCTTTCTGTTTTTTTTTTGTGGGGAATATTGTTTCTAAAATGGATTATTTTTCATATTAGATAAGACATAAATTTTTGACCATGTATATCTAAATTTTAGCACAATAAAAGTCTTAAATTGACCAAGATCTATAAGGAAAAAATGAAAACTTCAAAAATTTCATGTTCCATTTTACTAGGCAAGCAATCTCCTTTGAGATATAAATTTCCAACCTGGTTACAACCTGAATCCTATCTTCAGATATGCAAATTTAAGATTAAATATTACATAAGACTATTTAAAAACACAATAATATAAAAAAAAAATTTTTACCGTACCAGGGATCAAACTCAGGACCTTCTGCTTAGCTCAGTGGCACTGAGCTAAATCCCCAGCCAATAATATAACTTTGGGGGGGTACCAGGGATCGAACTTGGGTCCTTGCACTTGCGAGGCAGTTGGCAGAACCACTGAGCTAAATCCCCAGCCCTTCCAAAAAATATAACTTTTTAAAAGATGATAAATTGGGCTGGGGATTTAGCTTGGTGGCACAGCGCCTGCCCAGCAACCGTGAGGCCCTGGGTTCGATTCCCAGTACCAAAAAAGAAAAGTGGGGAAAAAAAAAAAGATGATAAATTATAACTTTAAGTTGTTGTTTTATGTGTGTTGGCATGAATGTATATATTATGTTATGCCTATCCATATACTTGCATTTATATATTGTTTAGATGGTACCAGATTACTTTTTTTTAAAGTACTCAATGACCTAAAAAAAAATAAACCCAAATATCTCTTTGTTCACATGACTTTTTTAAAATGGTTTTAAAAGGTTCAGGCATGGTGGTGGTGCATACCTATAATTCCAGCACACAGGAAGATGAGGCAGGATTGCTGTGAGTTTGAGGTCACCCTGGGCTACATAGTAAGACCCTGTCTCAAAAACTTAAAAAAAAGAAGAAGAAGCTGAGTCAGGAGAATCACTGTGAATTAGAGGGTACCCTGGACTATATGGCAAGACCCTGTCTCAAAACAAATAGTTTTAAAAGATGTGGAGCGGGGATGTAGCTCCGTGGTTCCAGCACCTGCCTTGCAAGTGCAAGGTCCCAAGTTCAATCCCCGGTACCAAAAAAGATGTTATACAGAATCCACTTGTCAACAAGACAGGCTCTCCATTGTGAGAAAAAGAAAAGTTTATCAGAAATGTACTGCATTCAAATTCTAATAAGATAATGTATTAACTGTTAAAAGTTTTTAAAAGTATTTGCTCAGTGATGGGCGTGGTAACACATGCTTATAATCCCAGCACCTTGACAGCCTGAGGTAGGACTACAACTTCAAGTCTTGTCTGAACAATTTAGTGACTTAGCAAAACCCTGTTTCAAAATAAAAATATTTTTAAAAGGCTGGTAATGTAGCTCAGTGCCAAGGCTTTGAGTCAATCACAGTACTGCAAAAAAGAAAAATCTTTTGTTCAATTGTAGAATGAACTTATATATTTTTTGTGTGCTATACACAGGAAATGTTTTATCATGTATCAAAAATGGCCTGTTTATCTGTAATTATATTTGTAATAATAAAACTTAGCTTGTAATTTAAAAAAGGAAAAGTTTATTCCAGTGAACAGGGACAAGGACTAAGGTCAGGGGATTCTAATGGTCAGCAGTGGGAGGGAGAGAGATAGCGGTGGCTTGCTGGGAGAGATTTCATCCTTGAGAGGATGGGCTAACACCAAGGAAGAGAGATACTAGCAATTAACTTGGAATGGAACTAAGCTTATATAGGTATGGAAGGGGCTAAGGAATCTGGGGTAACATATTTATAACTTACGGTGGTCTGGACGGTCTGCTCAGGCATGTATACACTTATTGGATTGTTCAGTGCCGGGGTGATAGACCATATTTTTTAGTCCATTTACCTCACTTACTGGGAAGCTGCTGGTATTTGTTCAAAGCACCCTGTTTATTTTCCCTGTTGATTTAGGGAAGGCCTGATACTCAGTACCCTCAAGAATGAGGGCTCAAATAAGGAAGGGGGAATTATAACTGGCACTGAAAAATAAAACTTTTTTTTTCCTTTAGAGACAAGTAACTTCCTGGGGCGTAGGACATAAACAGCTTCCTCCAACACCACTCAGCCTAAACAAAAAAGTGACAAAATGTATAGATGCCGCCCCAGGAGGCCAGGAACCTGACTTCTGTTTAAAAAAAAAAAAAAAAAAAAAGCTGAAGATGACTAAAAGTGATGAAGCAAATGTAAAGATCTACAGTCTCTCTGTGTTTCCCCCTCCCCTCTGTTTCTTACTATAAAACTCCCTTGTGCACATATGGGGATTTGAGGCAAATGGGCACCTCTATCTCTTCAGAGCTACCTTTAAATAAATAAATCCTTTTTCTTTTTTACCCAAATATATGCCCTCTTTTGATCTGGTCATCAGGGAGCAGACAAACCTGAGGGTATGAGCCTAAGTGGCTGATAACAAATTGACTGTACCATTCAACCCTTCCATTCCTATGTAGATATCCAAAAGAACTGAAAGCATGTATTCATGTTTCCATTTAAATTTCCAGACATACAAAATTATGATTCCTACACCAATTATCTCAAATGAGATCATCCAAAGCAATTCCATGTATACAATAATCATTTCTCCCCTTCAGTTTTTCTGTTTTATACAATGGTATGACTGACAGAAAATTGGATGGCATGTGCTTCTTTGAAAATGTCATGTCTTTACAAAAACAACATGCAGAACAATTCCTACTTTGTCTGCAAGTCAGTTTACAATAACTGCTTATTTTCTGTCTATACAGGAGACATATGTAACTGAAATTTAGCTGCCCAATTGTATTCAGCCACCTCACAAATAAGCTCAAATGATAGTTCAACACAACAAACTTTGGAGAGTTGAGATAATAAACATTATCTACAATCTTTAAATTACAGATTCAACTATTTAGCCTGAAAATGTTGGCTTTTTCTCTTAAATATTTTTTAAAACTTTCCCTCTAATTTTGCTAGACTGGGTTCCAGAAAAACTCCTCATGTGAAAGTTAAGTGTGAGAATCATATTCTGTTGTATTATACAAATTTTTGCTAGTTGCATAGACCAAAGACAGTTGGTTTGCTAAATACATGGTATTGAAGAAAATCCTGACCCAAGTGGTACTACTTAGTCCAAATAATAGTGACCAAAGAAAATTATACAACACTTATAGACTAACTTGAGAGGTGGCTGACATTAAAATGTACAGATCAAACTGACAGGGAAAAGTTTTAAAGTAAGTTTAGTTGATTAGCTATTAAATTAGTTGTGGAAGCAAAATAGGTAGTGTATCCCTTTAAAAGCTTGCCTTAGCCCGCTGCTTTTGTTGATTAAAGTGAAGGGTTTTTAGCTCCTTTGATCTGCAGCTCCACTATAGATAACATCCTAGCTCTGAAGGACAAAGTGGGAATCCTTGAACAAACTTGTGCTATATGTGCCTTAACTGTCATGGGACTGTAATCAGTGACAGAAACCACCTGTGTCTAACCATTAAACAGGAATTGGAACTTTATTTACTTAACAAAGACCACTAGGGATGAGATAATGACTGACAAAAGTATAAAAGGTGATGGACAAAGAACCCAGGGCGCAGACTCTGACCAGGCCAGTTTCTGGCAGTCCTGCCTGCTTGCAAGTAAACTTTTATTATTTTACCCAAATTCTTTGTCTCCCTGTCTTTCTTTCCATGATTCCAGAACAAAATTATAGTCTAAAAGTTTATAAAATAAGTTAATACATTATTAACTTTAAAAATATCACGTATAAGACAAATCCCCCTTAAGAACTTGTGACAGCATTTGAAGTGGATGCAGCTTTATATGCAAAATGATCCATTTTCTCTGCTGCTAAGTATATAATTTAAAGAAATTTCAGAGATTACTGAGAAAAATTTGAGTTCATCCATGATTGATAGAAAATGTTGATTGGGGCCAGGGATTTAGCTCAGTGGTTCCGCTGCCTGCCTTGCAAGAACAAGGACCTGAGTTTGATCCCTGGTACCAACAGAAAAAAAAAAAAGAATGAAAGAAAAGAAAAGAAAATGTTGATTGGTAGGATTTAAAATGTTTTTCTTTTAAAAAAAAAAAATCCCATAATGTATAACCCTGTACAAAGAAAAAATATGAAAATTCTGTATAACTATGTTTGACTACACTACATAATTTAAAATGGAAAGTCACTGGTTGAAAATTTTCCTACTTGATTAATTTCTCTGACAGCACTGATTTTTGAACTAATAATTATATTTAGTTTGGCTGCATTTATGGAATAAGATTTCATTTTCAAAAGGACATAAATTTTCCTTTAGTGTAAAGCCTCTATTTGTAGCAGTCACTGTATCTCCAAAAGTTAACAATTTATAGAGCAAATGTTTTAACTACTGTATATTTTTCTACTTTGTACTCCAGTTGTAATATTTACAGAAGACTAATGTCTACATAAAATATTCTTTCACTCTCCCAACCCATCTTAGTCAAACATTTTTCCTCCTCCCTCACCTCTGACCTAATTGCGGAAGTGTGGGATTTTCAGACAAGGTATGCAAACAATTTAGATGGAATACCTGATTTTAAGTGAGTGTAAAGACAAGTAAAAGATGAAATCAATCTTAATTCAAGTATGTTCCAGTGCCCCCAAAGTTATTTGACCAACAGTACTTACTGATAATCTAGAAAAGATGAGACATTCAAAGATGCTTTAACAATCTTAGGCTTGTAACAGCTGAACAGAAAGGCCATTTTACTCCACTGACAGCATTAAAGGTTAGACACCAATCCTGTGGTTACTCAAAAACAAGAATGGTGGCACATGCCTGTAATCCCAGTACTCGAGAGGCTGAGGCAGGAGGATCACCTTGAGTTTGAGGCCTGCCTGGGCAACATAGTGAGTTCAAGGCCAACCTGAATTAAGAGTGAGACTCTATCTCAAAAAACAAAACAAAACAAGTTTAAGACCAAGGATGTAGCACAGTGGTGTGTTGGGAGCAATGCTACATAATTCTAGGAAAAAATCATTTGGTTGCCTAGTTCTCTTGCCTACAGCCAAGCTACAGAATAACTCCAGTTGGGCCTCCAGTCACAACTGAGACTTCAGTGATCCCTTGATGCTGTAATGCTCCAGGACAAGACCACACCTGCGGGAGATGCCCTGGGAGGAACCAAATCTTCATCTGCATAGTTCCTCATTGTTCTTAGATTTCCGTCGCCCCACCCAGCCTTTCGTTACACCTTGTTTATCCCAATGTGAAGTACTGAACTCTATTTTCACTTGTTACATCTGTTTCTCCTGATGTACTGAATAAAAGGTGCTGCAAGCTAGGGGGGCTTTTGTCTTTGCTGACCAGAGCAGCACTGATCAGACCCAAAGCTCAGCTTCTTCTCAGTCTCATTTGTCTACCTTTCCTGTAATTCGCCGTGTGCTGCCGTGGCTCACAGGAGACTAGGACTCACTGCAGAGGTTCTGGTAACGTCCCCTTCCCCTGTTCCCTACAGTGGTGTAGCACCTACCTGGCAAGTGCAAGGTCCTTAGTTTGATCCCAGGTACCAGGAAAAAAAAAAAAGAAAAAAGAAAAGCAAGTTTAACTGAGGAGGTGTCACTAAATTTAAAAACTGAAAATACATTTTAACAGCAACTTACACTGAGGGAAATATGGTTCTGAGGTATTTTATATAACGAGAGATTATATATAAAAGAATTTGGAATGAGTATGGCAAATAAATGCCTTGAAATACAGTTTTCATGACAATATATTACGTGCATTTTGCTAACAATATTTCCCTAAAAATTAGCAACGTTATAGCATTATGAGTCACATTAAACTACTATTGACTTTTAGGGAAAATAACTATATGTGGCTGACTGGACATAATACCAGTTATGAAAATTCAGACAAACGAGTTGGCAGGTTCCCAAAATAGCTAATTGAAGTTCTTTGTCAAAACAGAGAAACATAAAGCAATAGCCTGAATCTGCAACTATGAATTAAGTTCTCTACAGACTCACCCTACCTTGCACCCTAAGCCAACCCTGGTGCGTGACTGCGGGCTGCCCTTCTCCCAGCAGCCTCCCGGCCGCCCAGAGCCCCGCCCTCATCCGTCCAGACCCCGCTCACCTGCTGCACCTCACTCTCCTGCTGTTCAGCCTGAGGGACGCCTAGGGCAGGCTTGGCAGGAGACTGAGTCCTGGAGGAGGGCCGAGGCCAAGGATGGAGGCTTCTCACCTGCTGAGGGGAGACATGAAGCAGAGCTCTGCGGTGACCCCTCTGAACGGCTGTCCGAAGGGCAAAGTCTCGCGCTCTGGGCAGGGGATGGGAAGGGCCCAGAAAAGAGCAGGAGCAGCGAGCGGCCTCGCGGGAGGGGGCGGGGCCTGGCTGCAGGCTGAGGAGGGGCGTGGCCAGGGTTTCTCAGCACTGGGCGTCCTGGGGGTGGGTCTTGGGAGAAACGGGCCCACTCACAGCAGGGGGTAGGCCTGGGTTCCGGAGAAGGCGGGGCGTAGCCCAGAAACGCCAGGATTGGGCCCAGCAGGGAGGGTCACGCGAGCTGAAGAAGCTCTGTCCAGACACCTCTCAGGTGTGGGCGCCCTGGGGCCGGTCAGCAACGCTCGGCCAGCCTGGTCTTCTCAGCCTTTTTTTTAGTCTAGCTCACCAGGGCAACTGACAGAAGGAGGTTGGTAACAACACCTGCTGACTCCACAGCCTTGCTCACCAGAGGTCACAGAATCTTCCACGATGTGCTTGCTTCGGCAGCACGTATACAGAATCTTGCACGTCATAACCCAGCCGAAAAGCCCCGGTGTGCACCCCCAACTACAGTACCCAGAATTCTTGGCCTGACAGTCCACACCGAGGACTACAGTACCCAAAAGACTCTGCGTATCCCAATCAGAACTACATTACCCAGAACCCTGGGAGGGACCTCACAGACTACATTACCCAGAAGATTCTGCATGCCCCAATCACAGAACTACCATAACCAGAAGCCTTAGCCGCTACCGCCCATTGCCCAGAATCATCCCTGTGACGCTCCCTCCCAAAACTACAGTACCCAGAAGACTTTGGGTGCCTCAACCACAGGACTACTGTACCCAGAAACTTCCGCATGCCCTCCCCCCCCACCCCCATCATGGGTCACACCACACCACTTCTAGGAATAAGGTAACAAGAAGGCTCCCTGTGACCACAAGGACTCAGGTATCCAAAAGCCTCTGCATGCACACACCTGTACTATAGTAGCCTTTAGTTTCCATGTGCCCCGACCCCCAAGATAACCAGAAGATTCTGCATGGTCAAAGCACTGCAATACCCGGACTCCTTCCTCCACCTACAAGACCCAGAACCCTATGGGTGCTCCACAAGGACTAGGTACCCAGAATGTTCTCCAAGGACTCTGCTACCCAGACTCCTCAGTGTAACTCCTACAAGTATTGCCATACCTGGAAGCCGTAACGTTACTTTCCTGAAAATATAACACCCAGAAACTTCCACAGGTCACAGGATTGTAGTACACACAATCCTCATGTGCCCCCACAAGGAGGAAGGTACGCTGAATCCTCAGCAGGCTCCCTCACGAACTAATATACCCAAAGTTCCTAAGTGACACATACACCCCAGGACTATGGTATGCAAAACCTTTGGCCTGTTTTCAGCCCCCCCCCCCAAGATGGAACACAATATCCTGAATCCTCAGCATGACGCGCCCCCCCCCGAACTACAGTACCCAGAATCCTTGCTGTGGCCAACAACTGTAGTAAATAGGATACTCAGCCAGTCCCTGGAGTTTCATTGCCCAGAACCAATGGATGGCCATCCACTCATGTTTGTAATACACCCAGTCTTCAGTGAGATATGCTAGGGAGTCTAAGGACCTTTGGTCCACTGGTGATACCAGAATCACCTGGCTTTTGCTTCTCCTGGCTGGCTACGTGAAGAGTGAGGGATAAAGTGGTAACGTTTATTCAGCGAGCCGCTTTTAGAAGGAGCCCTAGTTTCTGTATTTTTAGGAGCATTATAGATACGTTAAGAACATTTGCAATTTCTGTGCTACAGGTAAATAATTTTCCCAGTGTCCAGCACCACTCCCACCCCCAAACAAATGTATTCCAGAGGGAGCAAAAGTGAGGCTTTTAATCCAAACTCTTGTAAGAATGGTCCCAATACAGAGATAGGTACACATCATTTGAGAAGCTGTGTTTTTATTCCTAACTCGCGGGAGTCCCTCTCCCATCTCCCACGGCCTGGGATCCGGGGTTCACAGTCTATCCTGAGCAATCTATTTCATCCCATACCCGTTGTTTCCCTCTCCCCCTACCCTTTTTTTTTCTTTTTATTCCCTCCTCCCTCTTTATTTCTCTTTGTAGTTATTTTTAGCCTTTTGGCTTCCCAGAATTGAAGACTCTAATCTCTGGAGAGCGTCTTCGTACAGCCCTTGTGTCTTTGTCTGCTAGTTGGCCAAGCTAAGTCTCAGAGTAAGGATTTATTAGAGTGGTTAATGAAATATGGACCAATTAAAAATATTTTTACCTCTTACATCTTTGGACTTCAGTCTTATTATTTTTGCTATGCAAAACTTAATTTTCAGCCTGGTATGGTAATGGATGCCTGTAATCCCAGCACTTGGGAGACTGAGGCAAGAGATTCACCAAGAGTTTGAACCTTGCTTGTGCTATGTAGTGAGTTCAAGTTCAGACTGAACTACATAGCAAGACCCTGTCTCCAAAAATAGTTAGTTTCATATATAATTCTATATTTTGAATTACAGTTAGGAAGGACAGAGAGAGAGAGAAGAAGAATGAGACAGAGACAGTATGGGATGAGCTGCACATATTCAGGGATGCTGTCCGCTTCACAAATGGATGCAGTTCCTATGCAACAGCTAAGATATGGAATCACCAGAGATGAACATTAATTGATGAATGATTTTAAAATGACATGTATACTACATAGAGTATTACTAAGCCAAAAAGTACAATAAAATCCTGTCATTTGCAGGAAAATGGGTGAAATTGGAGGACATCATGTTAAGGAGTCAGAGTGAGGCATCTTTTTCAAATTTGCCTGAAGGTGTCATGAGGGCCCTGTCGTGCAGCACCTGGCTACTATCTCATTACGGATGTCTCCAGAGCATACACTGTCCAGCGATGACCTGGTTCTCACAGAGGGCCCCTCTCATACAGCCTGGCATGGCCTACCACTTACCACACACTGTTCTGTGCCCAGTCATTAATGTTTCCAGGGCACAGCTTCTTTAACTGGTCCTCAGCAGGTCAGTCTGGCTGGCTGTTGCTGGTCTCTGGAGCCCAGGGGCTTTTGCCACCACAGATTTGAGCACCTCTGAGAGCAGTGTGCGTTTAGACCTCAGCTAGATGCTTCCCAATTGCCCCGGCGTGGTTTCCGTAGGATTCTAGGCCTTTGTTGAGTCTCCTTTCCTTGCCCTGAAAGGGCCCGATTTCTGCCCTACAAATAATCCACGCTCGGCCGGGGATGTAGTTCAGTGGCGCCGCGCCTGCCTGGCAAGCACAAGGTCCTCAGTTTGATCTCCAGTACCACCAAAAAATAAAAAATAAAAATAAAATAATAATAATAATAAATAATAATAATCCATGTTCACTGTGGAGTAATAGGAAATGCGATTTTGCAAGAATAGAAGTTCCCATACACCAGAGCAAGACCTCCAGTAACCAACATCATGATTTTAAATACAGGACAACCAGATTTTAAAGAATTCTCTTGTGTTTTATAGGTTACATAATATAGCCAAAATCTGTACTCTGCGTGTTACCTATAAAATTTTAATACAGAGATGCATCCAAACCAGTACACAGTCATCACTTGTTTTTGCTCTTTTTGCAGAGCTCAGCCCTCCCTCCCTGTGGGAACCAGAGGAACAGCGGGCAGGGGGCTGTGAGGGGAGGGAGCCTCAACCTGTCCCCTCCGCTTTACTCAGGAAGAGGCTGAGGCAAGGTCACGTGACCCGTCGGATTAGGCAGACTGGAAACCTTACCTGCCTTGCTGAAGGATTTTTCTCAAAATTTTGCTAGTCTGAGTCTGCAGGCCTCTTCAAAACCCAGCGGACCCCGCCCCACCCCGAGGCCCCGCCCTGAACCCCTTGCCCAAGGCCCCGCCCCGCCCCCGCTCCACCCCGAGGCCCCGCCCTTGTGGCGCCTAGTGCCGGCCTGGCCCCCTTGGGTGGGGTCACACTCGTGTGCCCGGGGCACTGGGGCAGGGTAGGACGGAGCGCGGTGACCCCTGGCCCTGGGACGGGAGCTGCCTGGCAGGCGAACCAGCTGCTGACGCTCCAGCAACGCCTGGGCTCCAGGTGAGGGGCAGGCCTGACCCTTAGAGTTCCTGTCCCGTTACCTGGTGGCTAAGCTGAATCCCACAACCAGGGATTCCGAGGAAGCGATGGCTGAGCAGCGCGACCACTGGCGGGCCAGACCTCCTGGGGCGGGGGTGTTGTTTCCAAACCTGGCGCCTTGGCTGAGTGCGTCCAGTCCCCTTGGATCCTGCCTGGGGACTCATCGCACTAGTTTGTGTGGGGTGCTCTGTGCTCAGGCCCCAGGCACTCACCCTGCCCCTGCACTGGGTCAGGGCGCTGGCATGGAGCGCAGAAGCAGCCCACTGACCACACATGTCCTGGACACCACCTCAGGGCTGCCAGCCCGGGGCCTCTGCCTCCGTTTGTCCCAGCTGGAGGACTCGGACCAGCAGTGGACAGTGCTGAGGGAAAGGTAGGCGCTGGGGCAGGGAGGGAAGCCGGGGCACTTACTCCCCCTGCAGGGCCCTTCCTGTGTCCCCAGGAGCACTAAGGGCAGAGTGCAGGGCTGGCTGCTGCCCGCTGTCCCCTCAGAGTTGGGCCACAGCCTGACTCCTCCCTACTCTCAGCGGCAGTTCCTCATCTGAACACAGGGCTGAGACAGGCACCATTTCCTCAGGTGTGCATAAAGGCCCAAGGTTTGAGGGTGCAGCTCACCGCCTCCCGACTCAGCCTGCACAAAAGCTAGAGGCCAGGGCCCAGGGCCCATCTCCAGGCAGCAGGGCGCCGCACAGGAGGCCAGAGACCCAGTCCCGCCCCTGCCCTCTCATCACAGTGGGGCAGCTGGTCAGATGACACCGGGTTTTCTTGGAGGTGACAGACCAGAACCACAGGATGCCAGAACCCTGGACAAGGGATCAGTTCACCCCACCTGGCCCTTCGATGCAGGTGGAAACAGGCAGTCATATAGATGGTACTTGGGTACAGTTACTCACCCAGAAAGCCAGGCACAACAGACTATATAAAAATTGCAGGTTATGCAGCTGAATGTGGTGGCACACACCTGTAATCCCAGCACTCAGGAGGCTGAAGCAGGAGAATTGCTTTGAGTTCAAGGCCAACCTGAACTACATAACAAGACTGTCTCAAAAAAAAAAAAAAAAAAAGCAAAGGCCAGGGATTAAGCTCAGTGGTGCCATGCCTGCCTGGCAAGCGCAAGGTCCTGGGTTCAATCCCAGTACCAGGGAAGAGGAGGAAGGGAGGGAAAGGGAAGGGAGGGGAGGGAGTTATAAAATAGCACAATTCATATAATGTATTTTGTTTTATAAAAAAGCTTCTAAACATACTTAAAACATCGAGAAAAATCTAGAAAAGTATATTACCAAATATAGGGATTATTGCTACAGGGTACTGTGGAAGACTTTTTCCCTTCCGGCTTTTGATTTCCTAAATAGTCAGTACAGCAGTGTCTCTGGAGAAGACAACTCCCCGCCTCTGCTACCCATCTGCATCAGGCTTTGAGTGTCTGCACCTCCAGGCTGCTGACTAGGAGAGGTGGGTAGGCCAGTTCTGCAGCCCTGTTCTCTCCCCAGCTACACAGATGCGGATGGCCGCTGCCCTGGCCTTCTAAGGCCAGGCCAGATGAAGCCAGGCACCTACAAGCTGTCATTCGACACCGAGGGCTACTGGAAGAAGATGGGGCAGGAGAGCTTCTACCCATATGTAGAGGTGAGAGATACAGATGGAAGGAGGGCCCTGACACTGTGACCACCGGTCAGGTCCTGCAGCCCAGGGCTCACCCAGGCTGTGGTCGGACTGGTCTCACCTCTTCCCAGACAGGTGAGCTCACCTGCTTTGAGCTCTCTGAAGAAAGGTGTCCAGGGACCAGAGGCATCATTGGCTGTCATGATGACATGCCCATGCCAGAGCTGCCTCTGGGTTAGACTTTGGGGGAGGCCAGGCCAAGAGTGACTCACCCCTCTTTGTAGACAGGTTTTCACCTCAACCCAGGCTGCCACTCGATGGGCCTTGCCCTGATGCCTCCCCCTAACCCTAACCCTAACCCTAACCCGGCCTTTTTCATACTCAGCAGCCCTGGAGCTACAGCCTCGCTGGTGCTGTCCCAGGGAGGCATGACCATCCCTCAGGCCCTGGGAAGGGTTCTGTCCTCCATCAGGCTCCAGCTCACCCTATAGTCTGGGCTGTAATACCCCCAGGAAGCACTGGGACACAGCTTGGGGGCTGTGATCTCTCGCTGTCCTCCGGTGCCATCTCTGCTTCTCTCAGGTTGTCTTCAACATCACAAACGAGACCCAGAAGTTCCATGTACCCCTGCTGCTGAGCCCATGGTCCTACACCACATACAGAGGGAGCTAGAGCCAACCAGGGCAGGCCATCTGCCCCCAACACACTCTGGCTGAGCCCATCCAGCCCTTGACAGAGTGGACTCCTCGCTCATCGTGGGGCACTGGGGTCACTGGCTTCCTGGGGGAGGTCCTTCCTGGGCCCCTGGAGCTTCTCAGGGCAGCTATGACTCAAGTGTCAATAAAGTCAGTGCTGGCATCTGCAAAGCTGCTCCTGCTTTTAGGCCAGGAATGATGCACCACCCTGGCCCAGAGTGACCAGGGGCCCTGTGAGGAGCCACTGAAGTTAGGGGCAGGGTGGGAGGGGTGGCCACAGCATAGACCAGACACACGCCAGGGAGGGGGCAGACCATGATGCCAAAGGTGAGGTTCTACAGATGGGTCTCCTCCACAGAGACAGGCAAGAAAAAAACAAGTGAACCGTGGAAAACTTCATTTACTGATGATGAACTCTAAAAAACAAAAACTTGCTGTCAGTGGTGTAAAAGGGTTATCAGCTGTTTAGCGATGCCAGGCAGGATCTGTGGCATGAGCAGGCTGGTGGCTATGTCGGCGTAGCCACGAGTCCCGCAGGGCCTTGGCCCAGTGTCTGCCCTATCACAGCTGTCTCCAGAGGTTTGAAGCCCACATTGTCCAAGGGGATCCCGAAGGCTAGCAGCTTTGCCTCATATGTGCGAAGCAGGTCATTGTGGGCCTGTAGGGACAAGGCAGAGTCAGGGAGGAAGGGATCCACCTGGACCTAGCACTGAGGCCAACATGCTCTGGCCCACGCAGAGCTAAGTTCTTGTCCATGGAGGAGTACTGGGGCGGGCTGGAGCCAGCAGTGTGGTATAGAAGAACAAAGCCAACATGTGTTAGTGGTTTCCTGTCTGCAGACCCAGTGCTAACAACTCTACATGTGTGAACTTGAGTGCTGAGACCAAGGCTGGGGCCTGGGCATTTATCGAGGAGGACCCTTGCCCCTTCCCTAGCCCTGGTGGGCATGGTACCCTCTGACGATCCAGCAACTCTGTCTTCACAAGTGCAGGGCTGCCTGGGGAAGGGTGACGTCACACAGAGACACCCGAGAAAAGGCCTGGACAACAGCACTGGTGGGGCCAGCAGGTAAGTGTCTCCCTAGCCACCATGCCAGGGGCTCGGTCCTACACCCAGAAAAATGCATAATCTCACAAAGGCCAATTTCACTGGGTTTTTGTAAAGGTTTGATGAATTGAGAGCAATCTGAGAGGTACTTGTAGCCTAGCCTGACTAAAAACAATACTCAAAGACCTAATTATCCTCCAGATGGTCCAAAAAGAGCCACGGGGGCTCATAACTGGTGTCAGCAGTGTTGGGCTCCAGACAGAACTGGGAGGCCCTAGTTCTCCCCTTTCTCTGAGGTCCAGATCCCCCGAAACCCAGATGAAGGCTGAGGGACACAGCGATTGGCACCATGGAGCCTGGGAGCTACGGGAGGCAGTGTCTGTATTGTGGGACCTCAAAAGCCCAGGCCTTCACATATGCTAGGCGAGTGCTGGACCACTGAGCCACACCCACAATGTAATACTGTAACCATAGCTACTTAGGAGGCTGAGCTAGGAAGATCACAAGTTTTTAGGCGACTAATATACCTTGTCTCAAAACTTTGAAATTTCAAAAAAAGGGCTTGGAATGTAGCTCAGGGTTAGGGTGCTTCTGGGCTCAACCTCCAGCACTACATTACAAAGAACAGAGGCGGGGCTGGGGATTTAGCTCAGTGCCTGCCTCATAAGCTCAAGGTCCTGAGTTCCATCCTCAATCCTCAGTACCACCAAAAAAAAAAAGAACAGAGGACAGTAATGTATGGAAAAGGCCCCAAACAACAGTCCAAGGATGCGGTGCCCACCCACAGGAAGGTGTTGCTGGGTCACACTGTGGGATAGCTGCTCTTGGTAAAACCTCCATGGGTCAGCAGCGTGTGGCCAGGAGGAAGACAGACTGGAGTACAGCAGGGGCACAGCCCCAAGCAGGCATCAGGCAAGCCTCAGGCCATGTGCCAGGCTGAGTGACCTCGGGACTGTGTGGCAGCCCAAGACCACCCCAGGTAGGGTGTGACAGGCCACAGCCGAGCACAGAGGCACAGCCATACCTTGCAGACCCGTGCCAGCTCATACTGTAGGTCCTTGATGGTGGTGTTCTTTGATTCCAAAACATCCTGTAGAGAGAAGAGGCAAGTCTGAGACTTGTCTTCTGGCTGAAGCAGACAGGTGGCTGGGGGGCTGGGGGCTCCCTGAGGTCCCGAGAAGCCCAGGAGTCATGGGCAAACTCAGCCCACATATCCACCACTCAGGTGTGTCACCACACTGTGCTGCTGCACATTCATAGGGAAAAGTGGTCTGGACCCACAAGAAATGAGTGGGTGGAGAGGGGCAGGTGGCCCAGACCTCCCAGGAGAGCAGATTCATCACTAAATGCCATCCATGGAACCATGTGACTACATTATCCCAATTTTTTTTTAACAGAAAAGAAGTAGTCTGTAACTTTTTAAATTTTACAATGTTGCAGAGCATGGTGTCATACCCTGTAATCCCAGCACTTGGGAGGCTGAGACAGGAAGATTGCCATGAGTTTGAGGCCACCCTGGGCTACAAAGAAAGACCCTGTCTCAAAAAATAAATAAATAAAAATGTTACCTTGTTGACCCCAGGGCATGGCTCAGCTCCTGGGATGCTGCCGCTGGGCGAGGCTCCAGGGTGAGGCTCCTGTCTGAGGGGTGCTATGGGAGCCAGACCGAGGACCAAGACCAGGCCCAGCCCAGATCCACAGCCCAGAAAAGCCCCTCAAACCCTCACCTGCCCAGCCGAGAAGTGTCCCCATGGGGGACACTCACTTCCCTGGAAGGTTCCGCACCCATAAATCGGGGTAACAATAACCAGGAAGCACAGGGACTGACCCACAACTAGCCCAGCTCCACCCTGACGTGTGGCTATAACTGATTCTGATTCTCAACACCTCAACCCAACTACCTGTTAGCAGAGGATTGGCCTGCCCCTCCTGAGGAGTGGGGTGGTCCTTCCACTTTCGGACAGCAGGACCTCACTCTCTACCTGCCCTGGGATGGAGGCTGCAAGGAGCAGGACAGAGCTGAGCCTCCAATCCCAATGCCTGTGGCCTGTAGACCCCATCAGGTGCCTTCCGTGTGGTGGCCCCACCCCAGGCCCAAGATTTGCCTGTCCCAGTGACCCAGGTCCCATGGACCTGCTACATTCCTATAACTGACACCTGGGCACCCTGGCTGGAAGCACAGGGACGTCACCTGGAACCCTCCCAGCCTCCTCAGCAGGGGTGAGTCCTGTCAAGTTGGCTTCAAATAACTCAGACCCCCTTCACCTCTCACCCTGTGCTGGGTCTCCATCTGAGGCAGAGAGGGCTCTCTCCCATCCACTCCTCTGGGCCTAAACCTTCCATGACTTCCAGCTGCCCTTGTACCCCAGACACAGCAGACAGGTTCTCTGCAATAGCCCTCTGCCCTGCATCAGGCCTGGGCGCTCCCCGGGGTCAGAGAGAGGTTCTCAGACAACCAGTGCTGCAGCCCTCACAGCCAGCGTAGGAAACAGGCAGAGTGGACAGCAGCAGGCAAACCAGGCTAGAATGCTGTAAACTGAGATTCGGAGACTGGACATAACCCTTTAGGCTGTGAGCAGAAAGGATTTAAATTGGGCTGAACTCTGCTAACCAACCACCCTGGAAACACTGCTTATGGCTCTGCTCCATCAAGACCTCCCCTCCCCACAGCACTGAGATGACAGGGTCAACAGACCTTGGATCAAAACCTCAAAAGTCCTGAGCCAAGATTAATCTTTCCTCCTTAAAAAAAAGAAGAAAGAAGAAGAAGGAGAGGAGGAAAGAAATGCTGCCTGTGGAACTCTGTAAAAAACACATCTGCAGGGCCGGGGATTTAGCTCAGTGGTTCCACCGCCTGCCTCACAAGCATAAGGTCCCGAGTTCAATCCCTGGTACCAAAAAAACCAAAAACAAACAAACAAACAAAAAAAACACATCTGGAGACAGTAAGAAGCCTCAAGCTGAGGGCCCACGTCCACCTGTCAGCAGCACAGCACAAGCAGCAGAGACAGACAGACAGACAGACATTCTCCCGCCTGAAGGATACTCCCCTGGGACAAGCTGCTCTCCCCTTGCTAGGCCTGATGGGGCTTCAGGACCAGCTGTTTCCAACTTGAGAGTGCCAGGCATGTCTGGGAATCAACACTATCTGTCACCAGGGGCCCTGCGAAGCCACCAGCCACCCCAGCTGGCCAGGATTCCAGTGTCAGCCGAAGAAATCCATACACTTTATCACCTGTTTTTCTGGGACTCTCCAGCCAGGCGACAGAGAACAGGGACACAGCCCAGCACCAGCTCAACAAGGTGGTGACAGATGAGATGCGAGGTCGTGTCCAAGGCTGCAGCCACTCGATGCTTCGGCTGACCAAGTGCCTCTGTCTCCCTAGGGGCCTAGTGGGGCAAGGCCACCTCTCCTCTGTCCCTACGCAGGCCCGGGACAGTCCTAGCAGAGCAGTGTCACTCACAGGAGCAAATGTCTGGGCTTTGGGCAGACCTCACTCTCCATGGCACCCACAAATGCAGCAAGGGCTCTGAGGCCCTGCCCCAAGCCAGTGCATCCTGGGGGCCTCCAGGTGCTAGTCCTGTTGACTGGCCCAGGAGCTCAGACCCAGAGGCACAGCCACTCTGCCCAGCCCTCAAGCCACTTTGGATAGCTGCAGGGCAGAGGCATAAGTCACAAGGCTAAGGTAGGGCTGGGAAACCCAGGAGTGCTCAGCACCAAGAAAGGAGACTGCAGTGGCATGGCCTGCAGGACCAACCTGCTCCCAGGCCCCCATGGGGAATGGGGGCCTCTGTGCCCTTGGAGGTGGCACAGCACAGGGTGAAGGCACGCTGGGGGAAGGATCCCATCCTCCACCTACCTCAAGCTTGTGAGACACGAGCATCAGCGCAGCGGGGTCCATGTTGGAGGCTGCCAGCACCTCGTTGAATTGTACCTCCCTCTTCTCCACAGCAGTACTTAGCACCTGCAGCTTGCGCTCCAGCAGCAAGTTTTTAAAGCCAGTCTTCTGCTGCACCTCCTGGATGGCCGCTGTGAACTTCCGGTAGAGCTCGTCCCGCTCCTGCTGCACCTGCAGGATGAGGCTGGGGTGGATGACAAGGCCCCTCACCTGGGGATGTCACCACAGGGAGAAGCCACCTCCTGCCTGTGCCCCTGCTCAAGGCACACTGCTTCTTCAGTGACCTGGAAGACACCCAGCCTTCTATGGAACAGACCACAGCTTCTTTCCTTATAAAAGCTGCGTGAACTGAGAAGCAGGCAGCTCAGTTTCCAGCCCAGAGACCAGCTGGGGCCCCATGGCCTCACCTTGAGGAAGCGCTGCTCCAGCACCTCGTGCTCCCACTGCAGGTCCTTCAGCTCCTTCTCAGTAACCTTCAAACGTGCTTTCGTGCTCTAGGGAGGAAAGGGAAAGGGGGCCAGAAAGTATTCAGGACTCAAACATGGGCTCCTAGGAGATGGCAAGACTAGAAGTCATTGCCAGGAACAATCCAGGCTGGTCAGGCTGACACGCAGAGAACGGGCCCTGTGTCCTGCAGCAGCGCCCACATGGCGGCCCCAGAGCAGTCCCAGGAGGACAGCCGGCCTCCCTGCCTCTCTCTTCCCGCCCTAAGGGCTGAGCCTTGCCAGGACCCACATGTCACCTGTGTGCTTCTGCCTGAGCCCAGGAGAGCACACGCCAAGGCGAGGAACTAAGCAGGAAACTCACCACCAGGATCTGTTTGTCCCTTTCACAGTCCCCGAGTTTCCTCCGCATCTCAGCCATCTCATCCCGGGCCTTCTGGAGGGGATCCACCAGGCGCCTGTTCTGCAAGGCCACCTCCGCCATCTCTCGCTGCAGGCGCTCCTCCTTCTTTCGCATGTCTTCCATCTGCTCCTGGGGTGCAGTGGGGTGAACAGGGGTCGGGGCCTGAGACAGGCAGGTCCCACCAGCCTCACCCACACTGGAGCCTAGGCTTGCTTTATGTGTAAACCGATTTTTATGTTTCTGGTACTAGGACTGAGCCCAGGGCCTTCACACTGACCTACATCCTCAGCAGCCCCCTCTTCTTTTTAACTTTGAAACGGGGTCTCACTAAGTCACTGAGTTGGTCAGGCTAGGATCAAATTTTCCATTCTCCTGCCTCAGTCTCCCAGAGTGCTGGGAATATGGCATATGCCACCAGGTCCAGTGTGACTTTGCAGTCTTAACTTATTCTGAATTTTTTAGGGTACAGCAAACTGAGAGGCTGTGCTCTGTTCAGAATCCCAGCAAGGTCATTTTCCACTGCAGACAACCCTGCACTGTCAGTGTCCAAGGGCCAATGATGACTGCTCACTCTGGCTGCAGTGGCCACAGTGAGGAGCCTACTGCAGCTTCGCCTGGGCGTTTTCGGTCAGAATCCCCTGAGTGCTGTTGCTTCCCCCACACTCCCCACCCTGACAGAAGCGTCCTGACCACAGCTACCTATGTGGACAGCTCCCAACTGAGGTGGCACAGGGGACCGTCCATATTTTTATAAAAGGGCTGTGAGATCTGGTGGGGTTGAGAGCTGGGTCCACCTCCCCCAGATTCTGCAGCACAGTTAGGACAGGCACAGTGGTGCCCCGCATCCCAGTGTCAGCACCTTGAGGGAGCTGATGAGGGCCAAGTTGTTGAGTGTGATGTCATTATAGTAGTTCTTGATGTCGGTGAAGGCCTCTTCGTGGCGCTGCATCAGTGTGTTGATCTGGCCATTCTTCCTCTCCTCCACTTCGTGGATCTCAGTCTTTCTTCGCAGATCAAGCTCATCCCTCAGCACCTTCATCTTCTTGTCATACTTAGCCTCAATTTCTGAAAGGCAGCAGCACACACAGAAGCTCAGCAGAGCTCCAAGAACAGAGGGAGCCTGTACACAGGACCTGGGGGCAACCATCGTGGTCAGAACAAATGCTGCTTTACCAAGACAAGCTGGGCTGAGGAGTTCTTCCTGTGCTACTGTTCACAGGTGACATACTCATCCCCTGGGCCACCACCAGCCCTCATCTGCCAGTGACAGGCAGACACAGCAGTGGATGCCTATACAGGACTCCCCTGCTGGCTGTCAGCTGAGCCCAGCAGGCACCAGCCCAGCCAGACAACTGTGACTGGGGAACCAGATAGACTGAAACTGAGCCTTCTCATGCCAGGAGCCAGGACTATTCTACGACTGTTACCCACAAGATGGAAGGGCCACTCCCTGCTGTCAAATCCTGACTCTTGACAGGAGCGAGGAAGTGTGTGGTACCACCTCTGGAACATGTATGGGAATAAGTCATTCTGGGATTCCAAGAGGTCCACTGGCTTTAGGAACTTCCTCATTCTCTCTCGGCACAGGAGCTGTTTCAGTTTGGCTGAGTGCTGAGTTAATAAGCGCTTCGGGCAATCACTTTCTGATGGGGGTCCTCACATTGTGCTATACAGTATGCATGTGAGAAACTGACCTCGAATTTGCCTCTCAAAGTCATTCCTCATCTTGGTGATCTCCTCGGCGTGTTTCTGGACAGGCAAGGGCAGGAGGTTAGTAGACACCACTCCCTTCAGGCTGACCCTGTCCCTCACCCCTGTAAAGACCCCAGCTCTGTAAACCTGTGCTCCTGCTGCTGGTTGCTGGGTTCCTCTCTCCTGTCACCTCTAAGTTCACAAAACATGCCCAGAAAAACATGTTATTGGTCATCTCCCTGTACATAGCTCACATCCCCAGCAAGGTTGCTTCTGAATCTGAGAGCCTGTCATATGAATGAGCCTCCCCAGGCCAGAGGGCAGCAGCTGTGTCTACAGGAGATGCAGGCTCTCTCTATAGCCTCATGCAGCTCTTGCTAACCCACCTCACTGCTGCTTAGGGCAACATTCAAAAATTCTTTTAATCAACAATTATTACACGTCAAAATTTGAACAAAAAAAAAATTTAATTGTGTTACCCAAAGGAATGAATACAGAACATGTAACAGCCCCACAACCAGGCCTCAGATTCCTGATTAATTTGAACCAGCTATTCAGTGCTTCTCAGGACAAGCAGACCGCTCTGCAGAGTCCAGCCATCAGAAGCCCACGGTCCCTGCAGCGGCACTGCCACTAGGTGTCTTTTGGAGTCTGCTGGGCTGGTGGCTCCAGGCATGAAGCACGTGTGTGGTCTTCTCAACCCAGCAGCCAGGAAGACCCTTTGAAGAGAGGAGCCACAGCCTCGAGGCAGCTCTCCAGGCCGTGCACCCAGCCATCTGGGCACCTTGCTCCTCCAGCCTTTCCTTTGCCCAAATGCCGCTTTCTCGGTGAGCACTCTCGGAACCCTTGCAGAAACCTGCAGCCTCTGCCCTCGCTCAGCTCCCAGCCCACCTCTGTCCTCCTCGGTCTTCATCCGCCCCCACCCGCAGTGACACCACAGCCATTGTCTCCGGTCCCACGTGTGCACTCCGTCCTTTCCTGCAGGGAGGCATCCTGTCTCAGGTCCAATCGGCCCAGCACTCAGCGAATGAATTTCAAGCTCCACCTGGAAGCTGCCAGCTTCTCTCAGGAAGGACCAATCCCAAGTAAACCAGGTCCTCATGAGCCCAGCCTGCATGACAGTTCCTGCAGGGCGAGGCTAGGTCTCGGGACATCTGGAGGCCGGTTCTTAGGCCTGTGTCTGATGCAAATCCCTACACAAGAGTGTGCAAGGCCAAGGCTAAGCAGCAGACAGGAAAGGTCCTCTGCTGGATTTTCCTTCAAGGACATCAAGAATTCTGCCCTGGGCCCTCAAATAGAGTTTGTTTGTCTGTGGGCTTTTTTTTTTTTTTTTTAAGTATTTCAATGAATTATAAAAATGCAGGGGTTTTAGCCGGAAACATGAGTTCCCAGTTGTTGAATAACCAGGAGTTTGGGCAGCACCAGGCTCACTGTCGCATACCTACCAGCCGCAGGGTCTTGGCCACCACCTCGCTGGCCAGCTCCTGCTCCTTGAGCTCCACCTTGAGCGCCCGCATGTCCTTGCGCAGTGCGCCCTCTTGGGTGTGGTGCTGCTTCTGGGCCAGCTTCATGGCCACGGTGCCCTCGGCCTTCAGCTCCGTCAGGCTGTTCTGGTGTTCATACAGCAGGTGCTTCACCTTCTGCTTGTACACCTGCAGGCAGAGGCCGACCAGTCACCTACACGTCTGCCTCCAGACAGAGCAGGACACTGAGGGGCCAGGGAGGCCCGTGGTGACAGAGCCTGGCTGCGGAGAGGTCACTCTGCACCCCATACTCCCTGCACATCACGGAGGAGCCCCGGGCCTCTCCCATCACTGCAGGGATCCAGTTTCTTTCCCTCAGCCTTCCAGGTTCCCAGCATAAAGACACAAAGGGCCGTGACCCCCAAAACAAGGAGGGAAAACGTCCCCGCCCCGTCTGGTCCCTGTGCTGAGCCTCACTCACCTTGATCTCCACCTGATGCCTCTCCTCAGCCTCCTCCATCTCCCGGTCTTTGTTCCGCAGCTCAGCCTTCTTCTCCTCCAACTGCCTTCTCGTTATCTCCCAGAAAGTGTGGATCTTGTCCCGCTCCAGCTGGAAGTAGTTGCGCTCCTCCCGCTCCCGGTCCAGCTCCTCCCGGATGCGCCTGATGTGCTCCTCCACCTGGCCAGGGGCGGAGGTCAGAGGCCCCACAGCCCCGCCCAGCCCTGGCAAGGGGTGTGGATGCAAGGAGGAAGGGAGGCAGGAGAGGCTGCCTTACCAAAAATAAACACAGAGTGAAAGGTTAAAACTCGACGCCAGGAGGATTCAGGAATGGGATACGTGCAGTAAATGCCAGGATTTTCTTAAATTTGGCTAATAATCATGGACTCATTAGATCTATTCAGTCATTCCTGGGAATTTATATTAAAGCAATTCCTCAAAAGAAATAAGAGCTTGTCACCTGTGGTTATATGAACCCGAGTTCCCCAGGGCCCCAGGGTGCAAGAACTCCCCAGCAGATAAGCGGAGCCGGCCCTAGAACCCAGCTCCTACATTCCTGGCTCAGTGCTCTTTCCATGGAGGGAGGAGACTTCCTCCGGGCCTCAGTTTTCTCATCTGTACAGTGGGCTAGCAAGCCAACAGGACCTGGCTCACGAACTGTTTTGAGTTAAACATACGTCTTGGTTGTAGTACATGCTAAGTGGTGACTGTTATGATTATTTGTTTGTTTCTTTGTTTGTTTTTGGTACCAGGGATTGAACTCGGGTCCTTGCGCCTGCAAGGTAGGCAGCGGAACCAAATCCCCAGCCCTGTTAAATTCCCGGCCCTGCTATGATTATTTAAAAAAAAAAAAAAAAAAAAGGGCTGGGTATTTAGCTCAGTGGTTCCACCACCTGCCTTGCAAGTCCAAGGACCCAAGTTCGATCTCCAGTACCAAATAAATAAATAAATAAAAAGAAAGAAATAAGAGCTTTTGGCTTTAAGGTATTGACCTCACTATTATTATAACAAAAAACTTAAAATGAAGCCAGGCATAGCACTCAGGGGGCCAAGGCAGGAGGACTGCTTTTTTGGGGGGAGGGGGGGGAACCAGGGATTGAACTCGGGACCTTGCTCTTTCGAAGTGGGCACCAGAAGCACTGAGCTAAACCCCCAGCCCCTAGGAGGACTGCTTTGAGTTTGAGGCCAGCCTGAGTTCAAGCCTCTAGGCCAGTCTGAATTACACTGCAAGACCCTGTCTCAAACACACACACACACACACACACACACACACACACACACACACAAAAAACAACCTAACAATGAAACTGTGTAAGACAATTTTAAATAGGAAAAATGGCTTTAAGGTGTAGTGTATCAACCAAAAGAAGTAAAGGCTCAAAAAATAGATATGAAAAAAAAAAAATAGATATGAAAATGAGGCAGCAGCATGTAAACATCTCCACAAAATAATTGAAAAAAACAATATTCACCTTTAAAGGTAGAATGTTAAGCAAAAAATATACAAAAGCAGTACTTATGTAATAACAGATTCTGGTCCAAAACCAGCTGCAAATCTGCAAGTAGGTTAAGGAAAGTAGGTCAGGCATCCAGCTTCCTGGGGACCTCATTTCCCGAGTTATCTTTGGGCACAGCCCCAGGCCACTGACTGTAAATTCCTTCTCTCCCAAAACCACATTCCCCACAGGGAAACCACCCTTCGTCAAGAAAACCAACCTGGCCTCTGACATGGGGATGCTAGCCAGAGGCTGTGGTCCCCCTGAGTGCACACCGCACCCCACAATCTGACCAGTGCCTCAGCACACTGACAAGATCTCCCCAGCACACTTCCACGCCACTGAAGCAAAGAACTGGAAGCAGGATTCCTACCGGCTCTGGCTGGCTCACAGGGCGTTAGATTCTGTCATTACTAAATGTTTAATTCCTTACAAATCTCGACATTTCTAGCTTCTCGAAAAATCAGAAAACATGCTGAATGTGATGGCACATATCTGTAATCCCAGCACCTGGGGGACTGAGGCAGGAGGACCGCCATGAGTTCAGGGCCAGCCTGGGCTACATAGTGAGTTAGTTCAAGGCCAGCCTGAATTGCATAGGGACACTGTGTCTCAAATTAAAAAAAAAACAACTGCATTGGAATCCAGTGCCCTCAGGGTCAAGGCTTGGTGAACTTGTCCTGTGCAGAGGCCTGAGTCTCCAGGTCACCCATATCCCCACCCTCCTGCTGGACCCAGAGGCTTCCGAGTTTGTGCCTCAACTGTCCAGCAGCAGCCACAGCTCTTTAGACTTGGAGTAAAGCTTTGGCTCCTCAGGACGGAAAGCAACCAGGTACAAGCAACAGCTCACGTACTGGGCAATGCAACACTCAATCTGATCTCCTTTCATCACCCCAGGGTCAAAGCCTCCCCGCTGGTGGAACTGCCCTGAGTTTCCTGCACATGAATGAAGCACTCGGACCACTATCCAAGGGCCCATGCTCAGCTCCAACTCAGGCTCTTTCCATCTTGGCTTTTTATTTTTTTATTTTTATTTATTTTTGTTGTTGTTGTTGTTGGTACTGGGGATTGAACTCAGGACCTTGTGCTTGCAAGGCAGGCGTGGTGCCACTGAGCTAAATCCCCAGAACCTCCATCTTGACTTTTTAAAAATATAAATCTTAAAACTACCAAAAGAAGCTGGTCATGGGGCCGGGGACTTAGCTCAGTGGTTCCACCGCCTGCCTTGCAAGCGCAAGGTCCTGAGTTCGATCCCCGGTACCAAAAAAAAAAAAAGAAGCTGGCCATAATAGCCCTTTAGCCCTTGCCTATGGTCCCAGCACTCGGGAAGCTAAAGCAGGAAGATTGTTGTGAGTTCGAGGCCAGCCTGGGCTACCTAGTGAGCTCAAGGATAGCTTGAACTACACAGCAAGACCCTGTCTCCAAAAAAAAAAAGTATGTTCTCTAGCCCTTTATATCAAAATAGACAAGTGGCTGAAGACAACTCCTACATATAACCTTAAAGACATCATTCCGTCCTAGAAGAGACAACAGTCAACAAAAGTGACCCGTTACTTCTGGGTGGAACTTTTGTCAACAACAATAAATGACTAATCAGACTGAGACAATGATTTTAGGTAAATCATGTTCCTTTCAAAAATTTCTTTTGCTATCATGTTTAATGTTAAAGGACTGTGCCAAACATATGTATAATATAATAACAATTCTGTGAACATCAAGGTGCATAAAGGGGTAAGACTAAACAGAACAGAGAAAGTTAAGAATAGTTATTATATCAGAAAGATATTTTCTTTTAAATTCCTACCGCACCATTAGAAAGTTCCTTAATGTGGCTGGTTTGGGGAAGTTGTCTTTTTGTGTTTGGTTTAGTTTTTTTGGGTGGGGGACAGACAATCACTCTACCACTGAGCTACATCCCTAGTCAATTGTTGGTTTTTGTTGTTTTTGAGACAGGATCTTAGTAAGTTGCCCAGGCTGGCCTTCAACTGGCAATTCTCCTGCCTCAGCATTCCCAGTAGCTGAGATTCCAAGTATGCACCACTGTGCGCAGCTTTACATTTTCTAAAATATGTACTACAGCTGAAAGCTGCAGCTGATGGGAACCGTGAACATGGAGAGTATCTTTGGTTTGGACAGACTGGGAGGACTCAGACCATGGGGAAAAGGAAGGGCAGCAAGATGCTCAGCATGAGAGCTGGGGCAACACCACCCACCCTGGGAAAGCACAGCTCAGGCCCTGCTCACCTGCCCCTTGTTCATGTCCTCTGGATCAAGCCCATCCACAACTGCAGTACCTTTGGGTTTACCTTTCTTCCCTTTCTTTTTGGGTGCCTGGGGTTGAAGAAAAATTACTGGGTAAGTACAGGGAATTCTGCCGAATCGTTTCCCCTCCTTGGAAGGCTCTGACTGGCTTCCACAGGCATTTGGGGAGGACCTATCTGGAACCTCTCCCCCTTGCTTCCTCTCATGCCCTTGATGGAAGCACTCAGCTGAGCATATCACTCTGCCCTGCATGTTCCACCTTGATCCACACACACCCTGCTGACACACTTGGGAGCAGCACAAAAGGTAAGACATCCTTTCCAGAAAAGTGCACTTTCTCCCTGTAAAAGGGAAGAGCCTGTTCCAAATCCATTCACTCCTTGGTGTATGGCCAAAATGGCACCAATTCTGGGAATGCAAGATTTACTTAGGCTCAAAAGTGAGGACCCTCAGGGAGAAGGTGATCAGGGGAAGGTTATGGGATCAGCAATTATCAAGATATGTCATATACATGCACCAGTTCCTCAGAATAAATGTAACTATTATGTACTGCAAACTATACTAAAAAAAACCTTAATCTATTAAAAAAAATTACGTTTAAAAAAGGCAAGAGAGGGCCAGGGATTTAGCTCAGTGGTTTCACCACCTGCTTCGCAAGCGCAAGGACCTGAGTTCAATCCCCGGTACCAAAATAAATAAATAAAGGCAAGAGGGAATAATCCCAGCACTTGGGAAGCTGAGGCAGAAGGATCTCCATGAGTTCCGGGCCACCCTGGACTACATAGTGAGTTCAAGGCCAGTCTGAACTACATAGTGGGACCCTGTCTCAACAAAAAAAAAGAGAGAGGGCCCCCGATATGACCCTACTGAATATTACCATGTTGGCTGTAATGCATAGCAAGCACCCTGGAAAGAACTTTAAGAAACTGGTTCAGTAAATGTAAGGAGAAATGAGTCCAGCACAAAGGCCAGCTGCGACAAGAGGCCTCCTTCCTTCCAAATACTGTACAAAACTCCTTCAGAGAAGCCTGTCACAAAACACTAAGCAAACAGCACCCACTGTGTGTGTTCGGTAACAGGATTACCAGACAGAAATGTTCTTCAGGGACAACAACAAAAAAGTCATCCATATTCCCACAAACTACTGATAAGTACAAGTACTTGGTGGTGTGTTTTGTCTGTTTGTTGTTTTGTGTTTAGTGACAGGATGGCCCTATGTTATGAGTTCAGGCTGACCTGAACTCATTATGTAGCCCAGCCTGGCCTTGAACTGGTGATCCTCCTGCCTCAGCCTCCTGAGGGCTGGGATCACAGGTGTGTGCCCCCACACTCAGCTGTTGTTTTTATTTTATTTCTAGCTGCTTTTCAAAAAATCCATCCACTGAAACTGTAACTACTAAAGCCTTGCTCTTTTTAATCCCTCTGTTCCAAGGACACCTCATGGAACTGTCATAAAAGGCTTGGAGAAAGCAGATCTTGGCGGTAGCAAGGGGAAGATGCTCTGGAGCTCAGAGACCCTGCAGCTCCCTAGCCGGGTCGCATCTCCCCACCCGGGTCGCATCTCCCCACCCGCTGATCCCCACCCTGCTGCACCAGTCTAGAAACCCAGTTAAGACAACTCGAGACCTGCTGAAGCGGCTGGCTCCCACCTCTCCTTAGGTGGGTCTCCTGCGAAGCTCTGCACGGGGCAGCGGCCCTGCACCCGAAGCGGCATCCTGGACCCTGCGCCAGGGCTCCCTGGTGCAAAAGGGTGCTCCGGCCTCTGCGGTGTGCCCCGGGCTCTCCATCCCAAGCTCCTCCATGGGGACCCTTGTGTGCTCCGAGCCCCTCCGGGTGAAACCCTGGGCCCAGGATCAGAGACCCAGGCTCTGTCTTAGTGACGCCCTACACCCCAAGCCTAGATCTGTGCGAGCTGCAGGACCCTGGAGCCCAGGTCTCAGTTCCACTGAGTGCAGGCCGGAGCCCGGGAGCGCATCCAAGCCCCAACTCCGTAACGCCGAGCTCGGTCCGCCTGCACGGAGCTTTACGTGCGCACCCCTCCCGTGCCACTGGTCTCCCCACGCAGAGAGCTCCGGAGCACCTCCCCTCCCCGGGGTCTCCGCGTGCACTACCCCGACCGCCGCCCGAGGTCCCAGCCTCACCATGACGCCGGCCGGGACCCGAGGTCAAGTCGCTGTACCAGCGCACGTGGCGCTGTCTCCTGGCAACTGCGCTGCGGAGATCTCGCGAGAAATCTCGGGGATCCTCGCGAGACGCTGCCTCACACCACAGCAACGGTGGGTGCGTCCATAGCAACGCGCGCTGGAAAGCAGCCTTGCGTTGTGCCAGATAATGCTGGCACCCCGGTGTCCCTGAGACGCCTGATCTCACCGACCGCCCTAAAAGCCATTCCTCTAGAGCCGGGCGTGGTGGCGCACGCCTGTATTTCCAGCACTAGGGAGGCTGAGGCAGGTGGATCGCCACGAGTTCGAGGCCAGCCTGGGCTACATGGTGAATTCCAGGCCAGTCTAGCGAGACCCTGTCTCAAAAAAACAAAAACAAAAAAAGGGAGAGGAGGACATTTGCCTATTGTTGGGCTCCCTCACTAGAACTTAGGCTCCGTGAGGGAGAACTGCTTCATTCACTTCTGTCCTACTGCCCAGGGATACCCAACCCGCGGACCACTATAGGAACCAGGCGAAGATTAGCCAGGGGTGAACTGCAGGCAAGCGAGTAAAGCTTCATCTGTATTTACACCCGCTCTTCCTACTCGCAGAACCGCCCAAGCTCCACCTTCTGTCAGACCAGAGGCGGCGTTTAGGCAAGCGGTGGACCCCACTATGAACTGCACATGCAGGGAATCTAGGTTGTGCAGTCAGCAGCAAAACTGTCTTCCAGGAAACCCGGTCCTTAGTGCCAAAAGTTGGGGACCGCTGCTATGCAGGTGCTAGATAAAGATGAGCTGATGTGGGGCCGGGGATGTAACTCAGTGGCGCCACGTCTGCCTCACAAGCGCAAGGTCCTGAGTTTGATTCCCGATACTGGAGAAGGAAAAAAAAAGATGAGTTGATGAATGAGCGAAGAGATAAATGAACGAATGATCATTCAGCCACTCAAGGCTCGAAAATATTATCCAAACCCGATTCAGTTTTAGTGGTGAGTTACCCCATGACTCAACAATCTTGCACCCCTTGGAAGACCCTTCCTACTTGTTCTTCTGGTGCAGCAAGAATACCATAGCTGGGTTTCCAGAAACCCTCAGGAAAACAAACTGAAATAGGAAAGACAGCTCATTCCCACTTAGCTCCAAAGTGTTGACATCAGAAAGTGTCCCCTTTAAAAATAAACTGCTCTGCCTGAGAGACCTCCTCTGTGGTCCCATCTACTCTCTGCCAGAGGCTTCCAGTCTGGAAAAGCGCTGGAAAAAAGGGCTGTCATCGGGCTGGGGATTTAGCTCAGTGGCGCCGCACCTGCCTTGCAAGTGCAAGGTCCTAAGTTCTATCCCCGGTACCAAAAAAAAAAGGGGGCTGTCATGGTCCAGGGATACAGCTCAGTGACACCATGCTTGCCTGGCAAGCACAAAGTCCTGAATTCGATCACAGGTGTAAAAAAAAAAAAAAGCTGCCTCTTCCTTTCCTTTAATTGCTTGCTCTGAGAACTGCTATTTTACAGTTTCCAAGGTGAACTTCCAGTCCCTGCAACCACACTACTGCATACACACAAGGAGGTGCCTGTCTTTTTGCACCACTTATTGTTTTGCTTTTTCTGAAGTTCTCAACTTTACCATCATCTTGAAAAGTGTTCTCATACTAGGCCTTGCTTCCTCATGATTTTGGAATGAACATTGTGTTGGGCCAAAGTAATGAAGCAAGGCTCCGGTGGGCTCAGGTGTTTCTACCCAGTCATGAGATCTGGCCTTGCTCAGAGGTGGGGGTCTGAGTGTGACAGAGAAGAGAGAAGGCCTCCTGTTTGCCACCCAAGCTCTGTGTGGTTTTGGAGAGGAAAAGATCTTGGAGGGATCATTGACTGAGGGAGCACAGAGCCCTAGCATAATTTACTTGTAGTAACCCCCAAGGCCTTTGTCAAGTCTGGCCCAGTTGCAGAGACTGGGCAACCAGGAGCCAGCACCACTGTGCCAGACTGTTTGCCTGACAGAGGCCTCCTTGCCAAGGCTGGGGTGGCAGTGAGGTCGCCCACAGGAGGTTTGGCAGAGCAGGTGGTACAGCTGGGTAGCACAGCAGAGTAATTATTATTATTTACACTTAACAGATGCAATATCCTAGGTGCTTCATGATGATTGGCTTTTTGCTTTATAAGTCTGGCAGCACGTGCTGAATTAAATAAATTCATTAACAATAACTCCTTTCAGCAAAAAGGGCAAGAATAGGAGTTTACCTCAGGATAGCCTAGCAGGGTATTCATTTATCACAAATCAACAGCACAGCTTGGCTTATCAGTGTGGACAGCAGAGATGAATGGTTCAGGAAGCCCTGGCTACAGACTCCCTGGGCTCCCAACAAGGCCAACTCTGATGTGTGCTTTTCATATTGAATTTGAGTTCTTATTTTTAGAAAAGTTTTTTCTGTACATGTGTGGCTTAAGAAACTTCTATTCAATATCACACTGTGCAGCTCAGAAACTCAGAAAAATGGCATTCAAGCTTCCTGCAAAATCTCAGAGCAAATGTTAATACATAAAAGCCAACACCATTTTGTCCAATGTTTGACTTCCTAAAACAACCACTGAGACATCCAGGTACACTACCTCAGGACTGCCTTAACTCACTGAAGTCCCAGATGTAAGGATAACAGTACTGATCCTTATTTTAGAGGTAAATGAAGTATTTAAAAAAGAAATGACAGGTGTATATAAAATTTGCTTCAAAACAATCCAGCAGCAGAAAGGCATCTAAGGACAAAGACCAGGTAGGAGTTTGAGGTTGTTGGATCAGGGTGATAGGTGGATTAATCATGCCATTGTCTCCACGTGTGTATTTGAGAATGTTCATCATGAAAAGTTAAAGAAAAAAAAAGACATTGGCCTCAGGAGTCAGATTGCCTGTTGATAACCAGTTGGGAAACCTTTGACAAGAGCCCCTTTCTGTCATTTATTCATCTCTCAAATGGGAATCACTATAAAACAACAACTGCCATTACAGATACTTTGGATGCATAAAAAGAACCTTAAAATACAGTGGCTCAATATGTGACCTTAATGTGTATTTTGCTCATGAATCTGCAAAGTGGCCAGGACTTAGTGGGACTTCTCAGCCTCAATCATACCCTCTCCCTGGTGAGGCTGACTGCCAGCCATGACCGCAGTGGCACCACCAGCCTGAACACAAGCAGACAGCCTCTCACTGGCCTGGGCTTCCTTGCCGAATGGTGCTTGGGCCTACCGAAGCCTTCTTTTTTTTTTTATTTTTTTTTTTTGGTACTGGGGATCGAACTCAGGTCCTTGCGCTTGCAAAGCAGGCAGCAAAACCACTGAGCTGAATCCCCGGCCTCAATTGAAGCCTTCTTATAACCAAGTCTTGGGGAACCATACATTACATCTGCCACATACTATTCGCCCTGACATCACTCAAGCAGAGGTGTCTCAATGGAAGTAGAAGGCTCTGGAAGGAATACTGCTGTGGCCTTTTTCCTTAATTTCTGTAGTTATATGGGGGAAATGGAGTCTACTGCCCCCACTGACTGAGAGTGGCTCCCATTTATCACCTCCTAGGGTGGTCACTGGTCTGCTCCGTCCCCACCACCTGCCCTGCAACACAGCTTCCTCCCTGGAATAGAAGTTCTTGCCTCAGCTGGCAGCAGGGAGGCAGGCAGCTCAGCTTGTCCTAGAGAAAGCACTTCTGAGGGCTTTCCATAGCAGTTGGGTTTGTTTTGTAAACGAAATTAAAAAGGGACCTATTAGTCTGCCTTTAGGCTCAAAGGCCAAAGACTACTGGTGTCTCTGGAGCTGGGCAGAAAGCCAGGGCTTGGAGCTGGACTGGCTAGTGCAGCTGTTTGGACGGTGCTCCTCTGGGCCTTCCCTGCAGGTGCAGTGCATTCTCCTTTAACATCTCTTCCACTCCCATACTACAACCCACACACACTCACACACACACACAGAGTTTTGTTTTGTTTCTATCAAAGTGCAAAGCATGAGCCTGGTTAGGCCTACTGACTTCTGGCCCAAGTTGTGCCGTTTTGAGCAGGTTACCACGCAGGTCGTCATCTCTGTGTTCAGCCTCTTCAACTGGAAAATCAAAATGCCTCCTTCTTGGAAAGACTGGGAGAAATATGTGATATGTGCACGAACAAGTTGGCACAGGTCGGGTGCACCGGCGCACGCCTGTCATCCCAGCTGCGCGGAGGCTGTGGCAGGAAGATGGCAAGCCTGGGCAACTTAGTGAGACCCTGTCCAACCCTGGAAACGAAGCGAGGGCGGAGTTGCTGGAGATACGGCTCAGCGTTCCGTGGCTCAATCCCTGGGGGTGGGGGATAGGTTGACACACTGAGCTCGCAAGAGCCTGTCCGCTCTTGGGGGCTCGGGTCAGGCCTGGCGCTGGGCTTTCTCCGGGCTCAGCTCGCCCAGGCCCGGGCTTCCCGACCCGCGTGCGCTGCCTGCGCCCCCACCCTGGCTCTCCCCCTACCTCGCCTCTAAACGTCTTGGCTTCGTGCGCCCCCATGTGGATTCGCAGAGTAACCCTGACTTGCGCTGCTCACCAGGCCGGAGGGTGCGGAGCTGCTGCGGCGCCCCACCTCCCGGGAGCCCCGGACTGGGGCGCGCCTCGCAGGGAGCCAGGCCTGAGGCGGGGTCTGCGGGCCCGGGCCGGCAGGGGGCGCGCGCGGGCAGGGCGGGGCCGCACCTGTCCGGCGGGCCGGCGACATGGGGAGGGGATCGCGGCCGGGAGCAGCTGCGCGCCCCGCCCCGCGGGCTCCTCCCCGCCGCCGCGGCCCCCCGGCTGCTGCCCCGATGCGCTGCGCCCGGAGCCGGGGCCGAGTCGGCACCGCAGCTGTTGGCGCTCCCGGACAGGGTGACGCCGCCTGCGTCCCCCGCCGCGCCCGCCGGCCAAATGGAGCCTCCAGAGGGCCCGGGAGGTGAGTGCGCCCCTCCGCGCGCTGGACTAAGGACAGGAACCCGGCTGCCGCTGCGCCCTGCCCGCCCGTCCCGGCCCCTCGACTGGCTCGGCCGGCCGGGCCTGGGAGACCCGCCTGGCGCTGCCTTGGTGGGGCCGGAGACTCTCTGAGACCCCCCAGCCGAGCCTGGTGTGGGCTGGGGCGGAGTCCGGGGTCCCGACCGGTTCCGGGGCGCGGGTCCCGCGTCGGCTTTGTTCGCGCAGCTGCGGCCCCGGCTGGGGGGCGCGGCGCGGGAGGTGGGATCTGCCTGCCGGTGCGCGGGGTGCGGCCTTGAGGACCCTTGGGTTGAGAGCCCACTGCCGGGCGCAGCTCCTTGGAATCTGGCCTCACCCTGGTTGATGGCTAATAAAGGGGAAAAACAGAAAATCCCTTCTTCTCAGATCCCTTTCCAGAGGGTTTCAGGATCCACGGCCTAGGGACTTGCATACAAACTGGAACCCCTCCCCCTGCCTGGCCAGACCCAACATCTGAGGGCCCAGAGGTCCCAAGCCCGAGGAGCATGAGCGTCTGGGGGCCAGGCGAGCCAGTACCCACACCCCACCCCGGCCACACACAGTGGCTTCCTCTGGCTGGGGGTGGGGGCATGTGGTGGGGACCCCTGTCACTGCCACAAAGCAGCAGACATACGCAGGGGCTCCTGGGGGCCCTCCCCGTCTGTCACTTGTGGGAAGGGATCCGAGCTCTTGCTATTGACATCCCAGGACCGTGGGTCTCCCCAGTAGCAGCTTGGGGGCACCACAAGGGGGAAAGTCTGCAGAGCAGGGGCTGGGGGCGCAGAAATCTCCAAGCTGAGACACTGTCCCCCTGAGCCTCAGTTTCCACAACCATGCGTGGGACCAGCAGCCTCTACCCCCACACAGGAAGACTGCAGGGTGAGCATTTGGAGGAAGAAGGGAAAGGAAGGGCTTCAAGCAAGCGCCCAGAGCCCAGAGAGCGGTGGAGGTTGTGAATACACCCCTTTCTGGACCAGGGCTTCAGATACCTAATGCGTTCAGTGTGTGTGATTTACCAGGTGGCTGCCACTGGGGACACAGGGACGGGGCCCTGAGCCCAGAGGGTTTGTGCCTTTGGCACCTTCTGCCCCGCTCCCGTCTGTACCCTGGGCTTCGGTCTCTACTGTGTAACCCTCATGAGCCCTTAGGTTGGTGACTATTCCTGACTTCTCCGTGTTTTTGTTTTTTTGTACTGGGGATCGAACTCGGGACCTTATGCTTGCGAAGCAGGCGGCAGAACCACTGAGCTAAATCCCCAGCCCTCTCCCTTACTTTTGAAACTTTATTTTTTAAAACTCCATCTCCAACCTTCCAGTCCCCAGACCATGGACTGAGCCATGGCAGCTCATGCAGACCACTACCAACCTCCCTTCGTGGTGCTTTAAGCAAATCTAGACAGGGATCGTCCATATCCACTTAAGAAATTAAAAAGTGAAATTTTACAAAGCACCAGTAAAACAGCACTTTCGCACCTAAATGAACAGCAGTTCTTAATATCAGAGGGTGCAGTCCACGGAGGTGTGAAACAGGCCCTGGCCTTGAAGTCTGTCCTGGGTGCGGGGGTTGGAGGGGGTGGGGCGGTGGGGTGGCCTGAGGTCAGATGTCAGCCCCGCCCCCGCAGGACCCTGGAGAGGATCTGGATCCAGGAACAAGGGTGCAGGAGATGGGACAGGGGACCTCTACCTCTGTGACCACCTCTCTTCCCGCAGCCATTTTGATTTGGATTCATCAATTCATTAATCCATTTGTTTGATGGTATGAGCAGAGTGGCAGAGCCCCAGGAGCCCAGCAGGGAATATGAGATTTGGGCCAAGTTTTCCTGTCACGAATGTATTGGAAAATAGGCCAGCGACAGAGCCCAGGGATACCTGGGCTCTTTCAGACCTGGAGGGGCACAGCTATGGCCCCAAACTCCATGACCTGGAGGTCATGTCTGGCAGCCCTTCGGGGCGCCAAGGGCTTCCCCTTGACAGGGGTGGTACTGGGACGGGAGCACAGACAGTGCTGCAGCCACACCCTGGTCCTTCCTGGGGCTTTGGAAACACGTCCCTGCCCTGGCCAGGCTTTCCAGGGGCTCTGAGTCCATTGCTTCAGCTCAGCCAGGCTGCAGCGCCCCACCCCTGCCTGTTGTCAGAGGGCTGTGCCTCTGGCCCAGGAGAAACAGTGGGTCCTGCCTGGAGGGAATGTGTTCTTTCTTCCCATAAGAGCTTGTTGAGAGGGTGTAGACGACGTGGGTTATTCTCAGCACAGCCACTTATAGTCTTGAGATCATTCATCCTTTCACTTACCAAACTTTACAATTTTTATTTTTTTGGTTTCTTGAGACAAGGTTCACCTTATATAATTCAGGATGGTCCTAACTCGTGGTGATCCTCCTGCCTCAGCCTACGGAGTGCTGGGATTACAGGGGTGCACAACCGTGCTCAGCTAAGGTCATTTTTTAATTGAGTTGTAATTCATACACCATAAAATTCATCCTTTTAAAGCATATAATGGTTTTTATGGAAGGTTTTTTCCTTTTTGTACGGGGGATCAAACTCAGGACCTTTCACTTCTGAGGCAGGCAGCAGCACTACTGAGCTAAATCTCCGGCCCTGTTTTTATTATATTCAAAAAGTTGTGCAGTCATCACCACTACCTGTTGGAATATTTTTATTACCTCCAAAAAGATCTGTACCCATTCCACACCCTTACCTCATACACCTGGAAATCACTGACCTACTTTCCATGGACTTACCTCTGGACCCTAGCTTCTTGCATTCATTATGCTGTTTCTGAAGCCTATCCACGTTCCTTTACATTGCTGCATACTATTCCATCATGTGGATAGCCCACACTTGGTCCCGCTATTCATCTACTAATGGACATTTTCATTTCTCTCAGTCGAACCTAGGAGCGGAACTGCAGATCCCACAGGGCTGCACCACTTTGTGTTGAGATCACCCTGGTCCCTTCTTGGGGGCTCAAGCCTTGTCTGTCCCTGACATTCTGACTTCAGTTTCCTGTCCCCATCACATTCTTCCGAGAGTCACGCTCTTGATGGCAAAAAGTTGCATCTTCTACATTTTTCTCCCTCATAGTTTTGGCACAGCCCAGGGTACCAGGGTTCACAGAACAAAGATGAGGACACAGGCAAAGGGAGATGAGAAGAACAAAAACTGGATATACAGTGACTTCAGAAGTTCAGGGGCTGGGAGTTGGGGTTAGGGTAAAAGTGCCTTCTTAGCGTACATGAGGCCTTGGGTTCCCAGTCCTAGCACGGCAAATTTTTAAAAAGTAAAGTTCAGGGGTACACATTGTGCCCTCTCTAATACCCTACCCACTCCTAAAATGGGAAGAGGGGCTTCTTACAATCATCTAAGGCCACTGTGCCTGGGGGCTGGAGTTTCTCCCAGGGTCACAACAAGGAACACCCGTGTTTCCAGTCCCTCCCCAATACAAGAGCTGGACAGAGCTTGTCTCTGCCTGAAGCCTGGCTGGGGGGTCCTTGGGCCGGCACTGTAGAGGCAGCCAGCAGGCAGGAGCAGACTTCTTTCCGCCCTGGACTTCATCCTCCCTGGCTCCACTATGAAAGGGATGCAGGTGGGTGCTGTGCCTTCACAGCTTCTCCCACTTGGCTCAGAATAGAAACCAAAGTCCTGAGAACGCCCACATGGCCTGCACACCCCACCGAGTCTCCTGCCCCTGACTCAATGCCCAGGCTGTGCTTTGGATTTGAGCTACACTCCTCTCCGGACCTCTGCATGCACTGTGGACACCAGGCCCACCTCAGGACCACACAGGTGCCACCCACCTCAGGCTTCTTGTCTATCAAGGGCCCTCTGGACCCTCCCTAAATCAGGCAGCAGGCCCACTGCTCCAGGCTGTGTGTCCCTCTTAAGGGCAAGGATCCTGTTTTGTTGTCATCTTGTGTCTGGAGCAGTGTGGCCACTCAGGAGGTTGGATGGGTGCCCTACCCAGTGGGAAGGGAGCTGTGAGGACAGACCCAATTCTGTCTCACTTGCATTCAAAGGCTGGCCCCGCTAACTCATGCCCCGGTTCGTGCCCTCCCTTGTAGCTGTTGTGAGTGATGTCAGGGGACAGTGTGGAGCGCAGCACTGCCTGGCACTCAGCACAGAGAACCCCCAAGCCATTCTCCTCCATCCTCTTCTTTCCCAGAGCCACCTGCCCAAGATGGGGTATCTCCACACAAGAGATCTCCTGCAGAACGTCCTCAGTTTCAGGGCCCCTGGGAGGAGGAGGTGCACCCTGGGGGAGAGCAGGGCAGTGTGGAGCTGAAGGCCACCTGGGGCAGTCACCCGCCCCCAGCAGGCAGACGGCAGCACCTTTTTGAGCCTCCCAGCCTACCCAAAGCACACCACCAGCTCTGAGCTGTGGGAAGCATTCTAGACTTGACTCTAGCATAGGGCTGCAGGAAATGAATCACACCCTTGGGCCCTCAGGAAGGGACACCTGGGGGCTCCTGGGCATCTCCCCTCTGTAGGCCTTTGTCCCAGCTCCCAACAGGGTTCGAATCACATCCCTGGTACACCCTGGATGGGGTGATGTCTTTACTGGGCTTGGGGGTTGGGAAGACAACAGCAGCGAGAACTGTACCTTTCAAGGACACTCAGAAACCACACTCCTGCTGCCAGAGAAGTGGAAACCAGATCTCCTATGCCCCCGAGCTGTACAGTGACTGCACTCAGGCCCCAGGATGGCTGCAGGACCCAGGCTGACTGGGCAAGGAGGATGCAGTCCCTGCCTTCACCCACCTCCTGGCTCTGTTCCACAGGGAAGAGCCCTCACTCAGGAGGCCTGGGCTCTGCACCTGTGTTCAGCTGGGGAGTGTGGGGGATGTGCAGGATGATCCAGATCTACATGTCCCACCTGACGGCACCCACATCAGCAGGGAGGACAGGATGGCTCCCACCAAGGCAGCTGTCAGAACACAGCTGGGCCCCTCAGCATACCCCAGGGTGGCAGCTGCTTCTCCCATTGACTGTCCAAAATACCCCGGCACTCATGCACCCCAGGGGGCCTGCTATTGGGGCACCACATGGGTAGGGGCTAGGGGCAGGGAAGTAGCACAGGAGATGGTGCCTTGGGGCCCAGGGCCCTTGGGTGTCACTTCACCATCCTCCGGCTTTGTGGGTGCCACAGAGGCTGCAGTGGGCTGAGGCTGGAGAGGAGAGGGGGGATCTGAAGCACCTCAAAGAGACCCAGGGTTTGCAGGTGGGAGGCTGAGTGATCCCCAGATGTTGGCTCGCACACCCAGAAGGCACACAGGGAGCTTTCACCCAAGCAGGGCCTGGAGGGGCCTCTGCTCTTGCCTGACAGAAGAAAAGGATTTAAAATGAGCAATTAAGCCAGGTGTGGTGCTGCACACTTGTAATCCCAGCACTGGGGAGGCTGAGGCAGGAGAATTGCAGTGAGTTCAAGACCAGCCTGGCACACAAAGTTCAAGGCCAGGCTGGACTACAGAGGCCTTGTCTTAAAAAAATAAAACACCAACCCCCACCAAAACCTACATAGAAACCTGAAAGAGCATTCACCCCATGGTGCAGTGGGGCCAGTGGCAAAGGGCTGTGAGGACCATGGGTGGCCACTTCCCACCCTATCATGTACCTCTCTTTTCATTCTGAATTCAAACATGGCACAGGTTTTGACTAGGTGAGGAAGGGCAGGAGAGCCAGCACAGAGCCCACAGGACCACATGCGCTGCAGTGTCCCTCCTCGTCCCCAAGGGAGACAGGGCCACCCCTGGTGGTGTTAAGTCCTCTTGTCCTCCCCAGATATAGACCCTGGGGCATCTGGGGTCCCCGTAAGTCTTGAGGGAATGATGTCTTGTTGTCTTGGTTGCAGGGATCGTTAAGGAGGTGGAGGTGCAGCAGGCTGCCCTGGGTGTCCCAGCCCATGGGACAGGGGACAGTGGCCACACACCTGTGGCTGAGGAGGCGGCAGGCATCCCAATCCCAGCACCAGGTCTCCTGCAGGTCACAGAGAGGAGGCGTAAGTACCGTGACCTGCCTTGCACTCCATGGGGACCCCATCCCACAGGAAGTGAGGAGCTGGGCATGGGGCAGCACTGCAGCACAGGCCAGGGGCTGGGCCTCAGTCGAGCCACAGAAAGACAAAGAGCTGGGACTGTCCAGGCTCAAGTGTGCGGCACAGACCTGGGGCAGGCTGGCCCATGGCAGCCTGTGCAGCCTCCCCAAGGGCTCCAGGAAGCAGTGCAGATCTCCAGGCTCTGCTGGACTGTGGGGTGACTGTGCTTCCTGCACTTTCTCAGAGCCCCTGAGCAGTGTCTCCTCTCTGGAGGTCCACTTTGACCTCCTGGACCTCACTGAGCTCACCGACATGTCAGACCAGGAGCTGGCTGAGGTCTTTGCTGACTCCGATGATGAAAACCTGACCAGTGAATCCCCGGCAGGTGAGTCTGGAAGTGCACAGGGGAGGAGCTGGGTGGGGGAACAGACTCCCCAGAACCGTACTTTTGAAAACAACTTCATCACCAGGTGTGGTAGGCACATGCTTGTAATTCGACCACTCAGGAGGCTGAGGGAGGAAGATCGCTACAAGTTCGAGGCCAATCTGGGCTAGTGAGTTCAAGGCATCCTGCACTAAAAAGCGAGACCTTGTCTCAAAGCCAAAAAAAGCCCCGACTTCATCCCAAGCTCGTCTTACTAAGCACACACCAGTTCATGACCCTATTCGCCCAGCGTGAAGGAGTTTCTCTCCTTCACAACTGCCTCTACTTAATTTTACTTTTCAAATGAGCAGTAAGAGGCCAAAACCATTCTTTCAAAAGTAGAATGTATTAAATGTGACCTTTAATTATAACTTGGGCCAAGCACAAAAGTGGGGTGAGCTGCATGTGCCAAGCTGGGCCCCTCCTTAACCCCGACTTGATTTCGCCTCTGGTTCTCGAAGCATGGCAACCAGAAGGGCCGGGGATGTAGCTCCGTGGTGCCACGTCCACCTGGCAGGCCCGAAGTCCTGAGTTCAGTACGGGTTGTTCAGAACCATGCCGACTGGCTCAGGCCCCCAGCCCTCCTGCTTTGTCTGCCTCCTCCACACCAGGAGGCCCCATGGCACTGCCTGGTGTCTCTCCTAAGCCCTGTGGGTCCTTCAGTCTGTCTCCAGCACTGAAGGTCATCAATGCAATCTTCAGTTGCCCAGTGAAGGCTCTGGGGCATGCAAACAAAGGAGCCAGTCCCCACCCCACAGTCTGGCCCAGGCTCTGCTTCCCCCACCCACCCCAGCCAGGCCAGAGCCTGCACATGGCCCCGGTCGATGCCCACCCACACACATGCTGGGGCCTCACTGGAGGAGCAACCCCACAGAGGACCCTGCCGGTGGGCCTGCTGTCCACCTGCTCCCTGGAAGGAGGTGGGGGCAGCCTGTGCATCCCTGGAGACCCTGGCTCAGCCACCTTCGATATGAGCCCCTTCCAGCTCTGCCCCACTGCGTGCCCACAGATGTGCACAGGGCGGAGTGGCCTGCGGCTAGGCAGGGGCTTGGATGCAGCCACCACCCCCAGCGCTCACAGCCTCTCCCTAGGAAGGGAATGAAGAGTCGTGTGGGACAGGTGACAATGGTGCTGGGTCACACAGGCAGAGCTGTGAGCCATGGCCAAGGCAGCAGGGCCTCTGGGGACAAGGCCCGCACTCCGCGTTCACATCTCAATGTGTAGGGCAGGCCCTGTGTTCAAGGCGTCCAGGGCCCACAGAGCCCATGTCCTGTTCCCGCCAGGTCTGCACCCACTGCCCCGAGCAGGCTGCCTACGCTCCCCCTCCTGGACGAGGACGAGGGCCGAGCAGAACCGAGAGAAGCAGCCGCTTGGAGACCCGGAGCGGCAAGCTGCGATCGTGGACACATTTCTCACCGTGGAGGGGCCCAAGGAAGACTAGGCTGTCTCCACTGCTGGGCCACCTACCCTCACGATGGCAAACGCAGACAGTCCTGGCCTGGCAACACACTGCACCCTCCCCACAAGGGTCCAGCTGTCACCTGGCAGCCAGCTTCCTGGTAGCCAGGGAAGTGCTGCCAGCCACAGGCCTCTGGGCACCCAGCACAAGCACAGCCCAGTAGCCTTACCTCCAGCTGCTGCCTAGGCCTGGCCTGGACAGGGACGACAGGGCCATGATATTACGGCTCAGGATGAAGCAAGCACAGCCTGGGCCTTCTGCAACCTCCCGTCCGTAGGACCAGTCCTCACATCAGCCCCAATCTCCACAGGTCCTGTGCCACGAGGCTTGGAAGCCAGAGTGGGCCCGGTGTGGCCCACGAGGTGCTCTGCCATCCAGCCATGTGTGGGCCCGAGGCAAACATCTCCACCACACTCTCCGTCTTGCCCACCCCTCTGGCCCAGGGAGGCACTGCTGGTACCAGGGCCCCTTCCCAGCCCACTTCAAGACCGTGTCTCCTCTCAGTCCCATGTGACAGCCGCAGGGTGAGGGCCCGGTGCACCTCCCCAGCTTGGAACACCACACACGGCCAACTGCCTGACAGCCTAGACTGCTGGGGCAGGCCTCCCTCCCGCCACACCCTTATGCCCATCCCCAGGTCCCAAGGCAGGCAGTTACATAGGGAGGTGGCCTGGCTCTGGTGGGTCTGGAAGGGCCAGCCCACTGCTCTCTGGTAGGATGGATGTTCATTGCAAATGGACAAACAGGCGTCTGGACTGACCACAAACCAAGACTGGTTTCGAAGCGCAAGTTCAAGCTTGCTTCCCCCCAAAGTGACCTGCCCTCCTGTCCCTGCTGACGCTTCTGGGGAAGGCAGCAGGACCTTAGCTTCACTCCCACCACATGCTCCTGGAGACCCAGGCGGCAGGGCTCCTGCCAGGACCCAGAAGCTTCCCTCTGCCCTGGTGCCACTTCCCGCACACCAGGCCTCCCAGTAAACACCATCCCTGGTTCCCAAAGGACATAAAACCACACAACCTCTGCAGTGTGTGTCCCACGCCTCCCGACCTTCCTGCTGTAGCTTCCATAGCGCACGTTCAGAGTGGGATTAAAGCTTCACCACCGTCTAAAGGCCTCCTGTGGACTCTTCCTTTTTCTTTCTTTTTTTTTGTGGTTCTGGGGATTGAACCCAGAGCCTCTCCACTGAGCTACAGTCCCAGCCCCTTTTATTATTATTTTTATTTTTTGAGACTGGACCTCGATATACAGTTCAGGCCAGCCTTGGACTATGAGAGGCTGGCCTTGAACTCACAGCGACCCTCCTGCCTCAGCCTCCCAGAATGCTAGGACTACAGGTGGGCATCACCACACCCAGCATGGCCTCCTCCTCTCTAGCTGACACCAGGGCACAGTGGGCCCACACGAGTGTGGGGCACTCTGTGGCCTTGGGTCATTCTCTGCCTGGCATCTCAAGGGCTCTCTGCACCAGGCTTTATTTACTTGGGTGTCATTTTAAGGACCAGTGCCCTGGGTTTCTGGTTCCTAGGTGACACCCCTTCCCCATGCAGGTGTCCCAGACCCCTCTGTTCCCCCACAGCTGTGTCGCTGGGGAGCCCTGGAGCCAGATCTTGCCCACTTCAATCACCCAGGAGCCAAGGTGGGTGTGGGACCCAGCCAGCAGAGGACTCAGGTAGTCAGACTGCAACTGCCCTGTTTGTTTCCCAGGGAAGGCCCATAGTTCCCGGGACACTGCAAATCCCACTCCCAGAGAGGGAGGTGAGGTGGACACAGGCTGGCCTGCCTCGGCTGCCTCGGCTGCCTCAGCTGCCTCAGCTGCCTCAGTTCTAACCAGGCCGGGGCCATCTGCCCGCAGCTCCCACAGGCTCCATCTGTGGGGCGCCAACAAACAGCATGAGGCCTGTACCCGACAGGCACATGAGGCTCAGCACCCTGGCATCAGACTGTCTGGGTCATCAACGTGCAGCTGTGGCGGATGGGGGCTGGGGCAACTGGACCCGACATGGTGAAGATGGAGAGCCTGCAGGGAGATCAACTCAAAGGGCCTGGGTTCATTCCAGCCTCAGAGACAGACCCAGTGACTATATGGTGGTGTTGGCAGAAACCAATTGCCAGGTCAGCCACTTCCCAGGCCACCACAGCACCACCATACGATGCTGACAATGCCAGCCCGGAGGTCCTGCCACAGTGCTGTGACATCCTGACAGAGCACCCCACCTCCATCACAGGGACCTCAGGATGAGGCCATGACAGGACCCTTAGTGGCTTCGCTAATCTGGGTTTGGTGGAGGCTGAGCCCTGGAGATTTAAATTTTCAATAATGTACATTTTACAAACAAGAGTTAAAAGTGCCCATTCCCAGCTGGACCTCTATTTCTGAGCTCACGAGCACTAAGAGGTGCCAGGGGGTCAAGAGTGATGGCTCACAGCTCTGTATCCTGTGACTCAGCAGGTTCAGGACGCATGGGGACACCTTCATGAAACCCTACAGCCTTCACAAAATTCACTACATCTGGCAAGGAAAAGGGCTTTTCAGCCCATGGCATTAAAAAGGCATTCAGCTCACAAGCTGGAGCTAGCCTTCCTCCTACTGGGAAGGAAGAGGGTCAACGTGACGCCACGGCCAAGAGGCAGCCACAGAGATCTGAGGGCCAGCACAGTCATGGAGACCCTCGCTCTGTGGGGAAGGAGGCCCCCTTAGGGAACACTGGTCGGTAAGCCTCACCTGCCCAAAGACCAGGTGCTCGGGCAGGGCTAACCCAGGCAGGTGCGTCCCAAGGTCCACCTCCCTCCGTTAGCCACACTCCTTGATGGCTCTGGGTTTCCTCTCTGAGCACTGACCCACTTCCCAGCAGTCTAACATGACTAACATCTAGCCTTCCCTTGGTGACAAAAATCCCTTCACAGGCTCATGATTTCCCTGGGTCTCCCTCAGCAGCCTTTGAGGGCATCAGTGCTGAGCCAAGACCTTCCCATGAGTGACTTTAAGACATTCAGGAAACTGAGTCCCACCTCAAAGGAAAGGCCAGGGTAAGGCTCTCAAGGGCACAGAACCCTGGCTGACATCACACCCAGGGACTGGGAGAGAAATCTGCCTTCCTTGGCTGTTCGCCAAGGAAGCCACCTGGAGCCACCTCCTGGCTGGCTGCTGCCATGACCCAGCCCCCCTATGCGGGTCCTGAGTGCCCCCAATACACCTGTTTGTGGTTCTCGCTGGTTTCATGTGTCCTGGTGGTTCTGGCAGTTGCTCTGAGAGGATCTGACTACAGCAGTGCTATGTAGGGCTCCCCTGCAAGCGCTGCTCAGTGTCCCCCTCCTCCTGTCCCTGGTTCCAATCCTTCAGCCCCTCAGGAAGGGATGTGTCCTCCTCCAGGCCGCCAGTGCCCTCCACAAACTCCTCATAGGTGGACTTCTCCGCGAAGGGCCGAGGGCCTAGCAGCTCAACCATGTCAGCCTTCTCTAGCACCTCCTTCTCAAGCAGCCGCTGGCCCACCTGGAACAACGCCACCTGTCAGGCTTTTGGTCACTGTGGCCCTCACCCCGAGCTGCCCCAGCACAGCCACTGGCCCCACGTGCCTTCTCTACCTGCTCCCGGCACTGAGTCAGCAGCTCTAGAGTGCGATCGTAGGCAGAGCTGATGAGGTGCCGAACCTCCTCATCGATGAGCTGGGCAGTGGCCTCGCTGTAGGGCTTCTCCACCAGGGCCTCACCTTGGCGTGCGAGGTCAAAGGACACCTGACCCAGCCTCTCACTCATCCCAAACTGCACGATCTGGAAACCACAGGGAGCCCAGCATGAGCCGTGGCCTCGAGGGTGTGGGGCTGCGCCAGGACACCCACCTCTTACCTGTGCATAGGCACTCTGTGTGACCTTCCTTAGGTCATCTTGCGCCCCTGTGGTGATCTGCCCAAAGAACAGTTGCTCGGCCCCCCGGCCCCCCAGCATCATGCACATGCGGTCGAAGAGCTGCTCTCTTGTGTAGAGGTGCTGTTCCCGGGGCAGGTACTGGGCATAGCCAAGCCCCTTGCCCCGGGGGATAATGGATACCTGCAAGGCAGGATGGCCGGTCAGTCCCTGCATGGAGCTCACAGTGCTGCCTGGACTCGTGTGCAAAGGCAGTAGGGGCCTGACCCAGGCAGGCTTCCCTGGAGAGCATCCCAGGGGCTGTTACATGGAGACCACCTTGGTGGGTCCTGCAGCCATGAAGACTCTGGAGCCATCGACAGATCCCAAGCTTAGGAGCCCAGCGAGCTTAACACTGAAGTTTCACCAGAGTCCATGGCTGAGGCTCCACTTGGAGCCGACATGCCTGCTCTGCCTTCCACCCCGCAAGTAATTAATCTTGGACAAACTCTAGACCAGCATCCTCCTTGGAAAGTAAAGGCCATGGCGTGAGTGCTGTGCCATGTGGGTGACACCTGAACAGTCACACAGCCAGGCCTATCAGGTCTTGAAGCCACCCTGCCTCCGCAGACAGTCACCGCGACTGACCTTCAGCAGGGGGTCTGCATGCTCCAGGAACCAGCCCACGACTGCATGCCCGGCCTCGTGGTAGGCCACGGTCGTCTTTTCACTGGGCTGCAAGACCTGGGTCTTCTTCTCAAGGCCTACATATCACATTTCCCGTGAGTGCGGGCCAGGGAGGAATGCCCAACCACCCAGCCCTCCACAGAGGACCCTCCTGCGCCACACTCACTGTCCTCCCTGCTCACGCCAGCCGCGTAGGGGTCATCACAAAGTTACCTTCATCGGTGGAACAAGAAGGAAGACCCGGGCATGGAAAAGTGAGGGGTGATTTCTACTGTCCTAACAGCTCAGCATGCAACAGGCATGGGACAAGGACAAGGAGACAATGGCACATGTCACACTGCTCCAACCCACTGCTACAGGGATAGTCAGCCCAGCAGAAGGCCCGCACAGCCTCAAAGTGAGGGGTTTCCTGGTCTGCACTACTTAGTATTGCATGAGCCCTCTACATACATACGTTATACTCTTTGGGGGTTTTTTTTGAGACAGGGTCTTGCTATGCTGTTCTGGCTGGCCTCAAACTCGTGGTGATCCTCCTGCCTCAGCCTCCCCAGTGCTGGGATTACAGGTGTGCACCACAAAGCCCAGCTGTATGCTATACTTCACACAGATGGTCCTCAAGGGTGCTCTCCCACGGGCTGCCTTCAGCTCCATGTGGGGCGTGGATGCTAAGGGGAGCTGCCGCTGCCTGCCTCCAGGAAGGGTCCAGGAAGGACGGATCAGCCCAGCAGCCCCCGAGACCTAACATCCGCTGAGCTGCCTGAGCTAAAAGGGAGTGTGCGACTGGCTCCCTGTCCAGTGTGCTGGCTGAAGACAGGAGACCAAGGCAGCTACCCCTTCAGCTGAAGAAAATGTATTTGCCAGGTGTGGCAGCACACACTTTTAATCCCAGCACTCAGGGAGGCTGAGGCAGGAGGACTGCAAGTTCAAACACAGCCTGGGTAACTAATGAAATCTGTCTCAAAAAATAAATCAAATCAAATCAAATCAAATATAAAATAAAATCAAATCAAATATAAAATAAAATAAAATAAAATAAAATAAAATGGCTGGGGCTATAGCTCTGTGGTAGAGTGCCCTGGGTTCAATCCCCAATACCACCCCCCAAAAATAATAATAAAGGCATTACATTCATTCTTTTAAAGTACTGTTCCACGAGAGCCCAGGCAGCAGGAGTGGGGGTGGTCCCTGCAGTCCCCTGGGCTCTTCCCAGGAAACACCACAGCTGCCACCCGAGGCCATCCCTCAGAAGCACAAGAGCTGCTGACAGGTCTCTAGTCCCAAATCCGGGTTTGGAAAGTCGCTCACATTTCCACATGCAGCGAGGCTTGAGGAATGCCCTCCTCCCCGGAGAGCCAGCTCACCTCCAACGACCCTCTCAATGGCTTGCTTGAAGTGCTTCTCCTGAACAGAAGGACTCAGGTAGCGGGCTGCGATCAGCGCAGCTTCATTGCACACATTAAAAATATCAGCACCTGACCCAAACAAGGAGAAACAGCCAACAGTCAGTGCTCCTGGCTGCGAAAGGCAACCAGGTCAGTTTTGTTAAACGAAAAGCTCAGAGGCCAAGGTTAACTTCAACACAGTGCTTAAGTCAAAGTCAATCAAAACTGCTTCATTGGTCACTTTAAAAATTTTTTTCAAGTACAGGGGACTGAACCTACAGCACTTTACATCCCTAGCCCTTTTATTTATTTTGGGGGGACAGGGTCTCACTAAATTACCCAGGCTGGCCTAAAACCTGTGATCCTCCTGCCTTAGCCTCCTGAGTAGCCTGGCTATCAGTCACCATTTTTAGCCAAATTTTATGTTTACCCAACTTTATTGATAATTCATATACCATAAAAGTATACGTATTGACTTTCAGTAAATTTATCAAATCATACAACTAGTTGTAGGACATTTTCTTTCACAATTTGAGATACCCTGTACCTGTTTTCACTTTAATTCCCATGTCTGACCCCAGATAATCGACTTCCATCTCCTTGGATTTGGGTATTCTGGATATTTTGTACAAATGGAAACATGTGAGATGTGGCTTTTCCGTCTGGCCTCTATCACTGAGGCGAGTATTTTTCTAGGCTCATTCTTGTAGCGTGTCGCAGCACTTCATTCCTTTTCACAGCCGCAAAGTGCTCTTTCACATACCATGTACTGTTGATTCACGCACTCACTGGTGAACATCTTCATCTTCGGTGGTTCCACTTTGGGGATATTACAAATGGTGATGCTATCCAATGTACATACAAGTCTGTGTGAACACACATTTTTTATTTTCCCATGTATATACCTAGGAGTGGAACTGCTAGGAGTGAATTATATGGGAACCCTGTGTTTTACTGTGGAAGGACTAGCAAACTGATTTCTACCATGGCCACATTCCCAATAGCAATGTACAAGGCATTCTCATTCTCCTTGCCAAGTCTTGTTTTTGTCCATTTTGTGACAGCAGCCGTCCTGGTGGGAATGAAGTTGTATCTTGTCAAGGTTTTAATTTGCATTTCCCTAATGACCAGTAATGGCGAGCATTTTTTCATATACTGCTGTCCACTGCTGGAAGTACATATCCAAGACCTCTGTCCATTTTTCAGTTGTGTTCTTTTTGCTGCAGAGCTATTTAATTTCTTTATTCTGTCAACCCTTATGAGATATATAATTTTCAGTGTGTAGGTTGTTTTTTGCTGTCTAGGGGTATTTTTGATACGAAAGGTTTTAAGCCCAATATATTTTTTCATTTATTACTTATGCTTTTGGGCACATATTTAAAAAATCACTGCCAATTTGAAGGTAACGAAGACTTACCCTATATTTTCTTCCAAGAGTTTTATAGTTTTAGCACTCAAATATAAATCTTTTATCCATTTTGAGTTAATTTTTGTACAGTATACCCCTGCAAGTCATAGTTTTGAGCTCACAGCCTTAGCTGTTCACAGATTTTTTTCCTTACAACTTAAGTAATAATTGTTCATGGAAACCCTTATTCCACAGAAAAAACAAATATCCTCCACAACAGTTTTGTGTTGTTTTTTTTTTGGCAGGAGGACTGCAAATAGCCAATTTGAGCACATTATTTAGTTCTCCTTGCTGCTGCCCTATGACCCATGGCCGGCAGATGCCCCATTCCGCACCCTAACAGGCTGCTCTACCACATGCAGCTGTCACAAGTGTTCTCAGTTTGTTCTTCTTAAAGCCTTATGATCCTTAAAATGCCTCCAAAATGCCCTCTTCCTTCTAAAGCTTTATTAATACATTACTAAGTTAAATTACATAAATGTGGGAAACATAGCATATTTAGGGTTTAAACTAAAAATAGGCATTTTTCTGACCATGTCTGAAATTCATAATTTTTCACAATTTGCAGGTGCTCTAGGAATGTAGACCCTGTGAATTTTGGGGATCCACTGTATATGAGGTAAGGTCCGACTTCTTTCCTTTGCATGCAAATGTCAGTTGTCCCAGCACTATGAGCTGAAAAGACTGTTCATTCTTTACAGTTTTATGTACTTGGTTTTTAAGTATTATAGGAAAAAAGTTACAAAAATATAATACTGGCCTTTATTATTTACCTAAGTGGTTACCTTTGCTGGTATTATTTCTTTCTTTCTTTTTTTTTTGTACTGGGGATTGAACTTGGGACCTTGTGCTTACAAGGCAGGCGCCGGAACCACTGAGCTAAATCCCCAGCCCTCTTTCTTTCTTTTTTTTTTTTTTTAACGAAAGCACATTATTTTGCACATCAATAAACGAAAATATCAAAGCTTCACTGCTGACTCTTGCTCCTTCAGGGCCCACAGTCACAAGCCTCAGGGCTGTCTGTACGTAAATTCTAAAAAAAAATTTTTTTGAGGTAGGGTCTCCCTATGTAGTTCAGCCTGGCCTTGAACTCATTATGTAGCCCAAGCTGGCCTCAAACTTGCAGAAATCCTCGTGCCTCAGCCTGCTGCCTGCTGGGATCACAGGTGTGCACCACCACACCCAATGCAAGTCTTATGAAATTTTGATAGGTCCTCACATCAATGAAGAGGGTTCTGACTGGGGGATCTTCCCTCTTGGCTGCCACCTACAGCTTACATTTTAGAGTATGGGCTACAAACTCATTTAGCTCCAGTAATTTCAGCCATTTAAACCAGTGCCAGATGAGGTACTCAGTCACAGAGATAGAATTGCCACCAAAGAAAGTCATCTTCTTAGTCAGAACCTCTTCTTTCTTCAATTCTTCTTTTATGCCAGAGCAGTCTCCCTTATTTTGTTTTATAACAAAGCTTACTATCAAAGATAGCACTTTAGAAAACAACTCTCAATCCATCTTTTGGCAAGGTTTCTCCTAAGGGTCAACTGGAACAGCTTCTTCCCTGGATATGCTTCGTCCAGGTCCTCACATGTGACGAACACATTCACAGATCAACTGACCCTGGCTCCTTCCCAACACTGGCACATCAAGGGGATTCTTCTTAAAGAACCACTCAGGCTTTTTCAGCTTGATATTGATGACCTCGCGCCCTCAGACACTCTTGGCTGACATCACTGCAACTTACACCAACCTCCAGGCACCACAGGTGTTACAGGAAGTCACTGGTATTATTTCATACGGCTTCAAGTTACTGTCTCGTGTCCTTCCACTTCAGCCTGAAGGGCTTCCTTCAGCACTTCTCGCAAAGCAGATCTACCAATAATAAACCCCCTAGCCTTTTAAAAGTCTAAAATGTTTCCATGTCTCCTTCACTCTGACAGACCATCTTGCCAGGTATGAAATGCCCAGATGAGGGGTTTTTTTCTCCTTTTTGGTGTCTTTTGACACAGGGTCTTACTATGTAGTTCTGGCTGTCCTTAACCTCACCAGGCCCAGGCTAGCTTTGAACTTGCAGCAATCCTCCTGCCTCAGCCTCTCAAGAGCTGGGATTACAGGTGTGCACCACCATGCCTGGCTTAGCTGACTTACCGTCTCAGCACTTAAGCAAGTTGCCAATGCCTTCAACCTCCAGTGTCTGCAGAGAACCTGGCTGCTAATCTCATGGAAGACTCTTGTGCACATATCCTCTGTCACTGCCGCCTTCAAATTCTCCACCCTGGGCTCTGGTAGCTGGATTGCATGTCTCACTGTGGATTTCTGAGTTTACTGCTACCTTGAGTTGAGTTTGTTGAGTTTCTCAGATATGTAGGTTCACGTCTTTTGCCCAGTTTGGGAATTCTGAACAATTATTTCTTTAAATATTCTTCCTACCCTTATGCTCTGCCCTGTTCTGGAACCCCTGCCACACGTGTTGTCTTGGTGGTGGCCTATATCACACATTATCACAGGTTCTTTGGGATCTGGGGGTTTTTTTGTTTTGTTTTGCAGTACCAAAGATTGTGTACTTGTGAGGCAAGCACAGCACCACTGAGCTAAACCCCTGACCTAGGCTCTGATTTTTCTTTCTTTTTTGGTGCTTTTGAGAGAGGGTCTCACGGTGTAGTTCAGATTCACCTTGAACTATATAGCCTAGGCTGGCCTCAAACTCAAGGTGATCCTCCTGCCTCAGCCTCCCGAGTACTGGGATTACAGGTGCATGCCACCACATCTGGCTTTTCTTTCTTTCTGCTTTACAGACTGGATAACTTCACCTAAGCTCAAAGCTCTAAGATTTCTGTTTCTCTTCTGTCTGCTCAAATCTGCTACTGAACCCCTCTAATGAGATTTTCATATCACTTCTGAAACTTTTCAGCTTCAGATCTTCTACTTGGGTCTTATTATTTCTACTCCTTTCCTACTATTCTCTATTTGTTGAGATAGTTTTCAAAGTTTCCTTTAGTCCTTCATCTATGGTTTCTTGTAACCCTGAGTACACTTAAGACAGTTAATTTTATGAACTGCTTTGCACATCCAGCTCTGTGCTTCCTTGGGACAGCTGCTGGTTTTCTTGCTTTCACTGTGAATAGATCAGACTTGCTGTTCTCTGCAGGCTTTGTACTTTTCTGCTGAATCACTGGCCACATTTTTCAATACCTTTATTTTCACTTTTTATTTTTATTTTTTTGGTACTGGGGATGGAACTCGGGACCTTGTGCTTGCGAGGCAGGCATCGGAACCGCAGAGCTAAATCCCTGGCCCCTGTTTATTTTTATTGAGTAGAGGACCAGGGATTTAGCTCGGTGGTTCCGCCGGCTGCCTCACAGGTGCAAGGTCCAGAGTTCGATCCCCAGTACCAAAAAAAAAAAAAAAATGAGTAGAGATCAAACAAAATTTTAAACTGCCAGGTTTCCAAGGGAACACCCAGGATTAAAATGGCTAGTCTCCTCCCTCAGGGCGTATGAAGGAAAGCAGGAGGAGAGAGGAAGGTCTTAACCACAGAAGAACCACTGGAGCTCAACTGGTGATGATTTCTGCAGCTTTTGGAACTGTGCCAATAGTTCTTTCACTGGGTGAATTCCATGTGTCCCGAGTGTCAGAGGGCAGAGACACAGTTCTCTGTCCTCTACATCATGACGTCCACAGAGGTTGCCTGCCACCCCTTAGGCATAGCAAAGCCCACAGGATAAGCCTGAGGGAGAAAGGTAATCTGATGAAGCAGCATCCCCAGGCACAGTGCTGGCTCTTCCCCTGGGGTGCAGTGCTGAGTTGTCTCTCCTGAGAGGGAGTCCAGTCACTCCTGCTATGTGTGCCCACTGGAAACCCCCACGGAGGGGCCAGGAAAATAAGTCTGGTAACTTATTCCAGTTTTTTGGCATGCAAATGGATACCTGAAACTGCAAGGGAAGAAAACAAGGGGAACAAAGCACATTCTGAGCAGGAGAATGATCTTCACCTGCCAGTCTGGTGACAATGCCTCACTCACCATCTGCCACAGAAGATGCACACTTGACTGTGAAAACTTGACCCAGTGCAGGGCAGGAGGCTGCGGGTGGCTGGAGAAGAGGCTCTGGCCCATGCTCCAGAATGGCAGAAGCAAATGACTGTGGGGTGATGTGCTTTGGGCTACAGGAACCGAGAGGCACAGCCTTGCAAGGGAGGCTAAAATGGGGTAAACCGGGCAGCCCCTTTGAAGGTCCCTACCACTCTGGTAGAGAAACAAGTACCTGAGCACAGGAAATGGTTTTAATAAAAAAAGAACAGAGAAAACCATAGGAACTGCCCCAAATTGGAGCACAAGTCCAAGACCAAAGTATAACATGACTCACCTCAAGCATATTCCTCGGACATGATTATAGTCCAGTGCAATAAAAACTTATTAAGCTGAATCAGAACTAAAATACCCATTCAAAAAACAAATAAATAAGATATTCATTCAAATGCTACAATAGGCTTTGGGGCTAAGATCTCTGAATCCACTGAAATATCCCAACAGGTTCAAAGTTACAGGGAATGGGTAAGCACTGGCCAGGACCAACTGGGCAGACACAACAGCCACCTGCCAATTACCAGTAACTGGACACCTCAGTTCCTCCCAAGCTGCATGGCACAGCCAAACACTTACCAGTGAAGCCTGGAGTGAGAGCTGCCAGCTTCCATGCCAGGGAGTCCTTACTGAGGCTTTCAGCCAACTTCAGTGGGTGCAGGTGGACCTTGAAGATAGAGGACCTGCCTTTGATGTCAGGGGGACCTGACAGAGACAGAGAGAGACACTTCTGAGCTTTCTTGGTCTTCAGAACTGGACCCACATAGCTACTTCCCAAAACACAAGGGCAGACAGAGGAGAAGCCAGGGTGCAATGGAGGAAACAGGCCAAAGAGCCGAGCCTCAAGAGCATGGGGCTCTGCAGCACACAGGAATAGCACCTTAACACCCGCCCGAGGGACAGATGACCTGACAGCAGATAAAACAAGCACCATGCAGGGAAGCAGGGGGTGGCCAAACAGGGAAAAGGATAAGTTTTTATTCTGTAAACTATCAAGTCACTATGACACTGTGTCTGAAAGTAGAAACTTGAGGACAACAACATTCCATATCCCTGCCACTGTACACACTGCAGTGACATGCTGATGGGCCCAACTATATCTCTTATTCTCACAAGTGGACTGCCAGAAGATGAGACCCAGCAACAACATGGTATACTCGAGTACACATTTTCAAAAAGTTTAATTATTTCAACACACTTCTCAGATAAAGAATTAGAAACAGCAAAAAATATAATGAAAAACTGTTCAATATCACTAGTCGTTTGTGAACTGCAAATTAAAACAAGGCTGAGCTTCAATCTCACTCCAGAAAGAATGGCTGCTATCAAGAATCAACCAATATCAAATGCTGGAGGAGCTATGGGGAGAAAGGAACCTTTCTCCACCATTGGTGGGAGTGTAGACTGGTGCAACCACTGTGGAAATCAGTGTGGAGATTTCTCAAAAAATTAAAACCCAAAGTTCCATTTGATCCAGAGATACCTCTTCTTGGTATCTTCCCCAAAGAATTAAAAGCATCATACCACAGCGATATATGCACACCCATGTTTATAGCAGCACAATGCGTAATAGCTAAATTTTGGAAACAGACCAAATGCCCATCAACTGATAAGTGGATAAAGAAGATGTGGGGTTTTTTATACAATGGAGTACTTTTATGCCATAAAAAAGAAGAGCTTCAGACATTTATAGCTAAGTAGATGGACCTTGAGACCATACTCCTTCCTAAGTGAAATAAATCGGACACACATGTTTAAATACTGCATTGTTTCTCTGGTGTGAGAAACCGAAAGTGGAAATAAGGACTGAGATGTATAATGGATGTTGGGAAATGGGAAGTAAGTGTTCAAAAGGGAAGGGAACAAGGGAGGAAGGAGGAAGGAGGAAAGAAAGGACAAGAAAAAAAGTGAAAATAGAAGGAAAAAATGGAAACAGAGCTTTTGTACACAGGGAGGGGAGAGGGCTTGAGAGGAATGGGATAAAATTTGTCTTAAAAACAATTAATTAATTCAAAACCTTCTCCAAACATACAGTGAATGAATTAACTGAACTTCAGCCCCATGGGCCAAGGCCCAGAACCAAGCTTGAGAATCACGTGCACTCACCAATATAAATGTGGCGGTCAAAGCGGCCAGGGCGCATTAGGGCTGGGTCGAGGATATCAGGGCGGTTAGTGGCTGCCAGCACCACTACATTGGTGGTGGAGTTGAATCCTGGATGCAAGAGAAGCAAGTGATCCCAAGGAAGGTGCAGGCAGCACACCCCAGTGTTCTTCACCGCAACCCACACTGGCTCTGCTTCCCTCTGCTCACTCCACACCCTACCTCAAGGACTAAGAGCCCAGAATGAGCCCTGCCCAGCCGCCCCAGCTTAGGCTGGCTCTGATGAACCCCCTGCTGACCCTTCCTAGGAGGGACCTTCACAAAGGCTCCACTTCCTCAGCACTCAAGCTTCCCAACCCCAACTGAGTCTCTACTGACAGGAAACCAGACAGCTCTCAGCTAACAAGGAGCCCCGCAGCCTACAACCAGGGTTGAAGTCCCCATGCACAGGCTCTCTGTATCCTGACTCATGCTTGGCTCCTACAGCCTGACACCACATGGCTATGCCTCTACCTCAGCAGAGAGCAAAGTCTCCATCCACCCAGGTCCCAATGGGCTTGCAGGGCCCAGGGGCCAAGTGGGATGAAGGCAGCCAGAACTTCATGGAGGATGGAGACACCAGCAGAAGGTGAGGGCAGGAGGATCAACCTGGGTGTCTGCACCCTCCTCTCCACTGTTCTCTTGACTATTCCCTCCAAAGGATACAGTGAAAACTTGCTTATATTTACTGTTAAATATAATGACAATAAGACTTTATTGAAGTGTCAGCACAGCAGGCCTGACCACTGTCCTCAGAAAGGCTGGCGGTCAGTCCCTGACAGGAGTGGCACACTGTGTGTGCACAAATGTGGCTTATGCACACTGCCTTCCTGGGCATCTGGAACCTTGGTACATGACCAGCCCCTGTAGAAGCCCCAGGGAACTGAGTACCTCAAAGGCTTCCCAGGTCAAAACCACCCAAGTGCTGCCACAGCTCATCACCAGGGGCCCTGGAAACAGCCCCAATCTCCCAGCCTCTCTCCATTATCTTCCCCTGGCTGGATCTGCTGTTTTTTCACTGTGATGAACACAGGTCTGAGTTATAGCTCCTCCCATCATGCTGCCAAATCAAGGGAGGCCTTAGGGACACCAACATGACCCTAAAGTCAAAATGAAGATAAAAATCTGCCAAAGATCCAGTGAGAGATTTTATAAATTTAAAAGCTGAAGTAAGTGCCTAGACACATCCCACACAGGCATGCCCTGGCAGGAATCGCTCTGTGCTTAGCAAGACAAAGGCCAAGAGCAGGAACATGGCTCTGTCACTCCATCCTATGCCTCCATGAGGGGACCAACACTATGTCCTGGTTATCTCCCAGAGAAGCAGGTATCCTTCACCCCTGCTAATCTCCTCCTGCTGGAAGGCAGAGGAACGAGGCTGCCTCATGCTACTGCACCAAGTGGACGGAACACTGCTTTCTCTACCACGTCTGTCTGACAGGAACCTCTCTTAAGAGCAGAACAGCCCTCTTTCAAGGGCCATCTTCACAGGAGCAAAAGGGTAGGAGGGTCATGTGATTTCCCGCTGAGACACCACAGGTGGTGCTGACCATTCAGGGCCATGCCATGCCGTTTCACTTACCATCCATCTCCACAAGCATCTGGTTCAGGGTGTTCTCCTGCTCATTCTGACCCCCAAGGTGCCCTCGGACTCGCTTCCGGCCAATGGCATCCATCTCATCAATGAATAAGATACAAGGAGCGTTTTTCCTAGCCATTGCAAACATGTCACGGACCTGGAAGAAGGAATCCATAGTCTTTGTTATTCACACACACAGATCATCCCTAACCTTCTCCTTGGTGCTTAGCACCTCAAGGGTGGGGCACACTCTGGGCTCATATCAAGATCCCACACAAAACATGTGGCTTCCCATTCTTTTTTTTTTTTTGGTACCGGGGATCAAACTTGGGACCCTGCACTTGTGAGGCAGGCGCCGGAACCACTGAGCTAAATCCCCGGCCCTAGAGAAACTTTTTTTTTTTTGGTACCAGGGATCGAACTCTGGACCTTGCACTTGTGAGGCAGGCGTCGGAACCACTGAGCTAAATCCCCGGCCCCCATTCTTAAACAGTAGGTAGGCACCCATGCACCTACCCTTGCTGGCCCAACACCAACAAACATTTCCAGGAATTCTGATCCATTCACAGTGATGAAGGGCACGCTAGCCTCCCCTGCGGTTGCTTTGGCAAGAAGTGTTTTGCCGGTACCAGGTGGACCAGTGAGCATGGCTCCCTGTAACAGAAAGATGTGCTTGTTTCTCAAAGGAGACAGATGGCACCCAAGTCCCATTTTCCACCTAGGAAGTGGTCTTCTACACAGGTGGCTCATTGAAATGACTAACAACCTCATCAAACACCAATCTTAAAGCCTAGGGGTTCTTATTTTTAATCTTTTTCTAAAATTAAAATAAAATTACTGCATACTCACCACTCACCTTGTAAGCATGACACAGAAAACTGAAAGGCAAAACTTAAAAGAGGTGGTGTGGACTGCTCCACTTCTAGTCAAGGGTGCTGGGTTAATAACAGATCATCTTAAAGCAGATAGATCATAACTTTAAGAACAAAATTCAGATAAAAATGAGGCACAGGGCTGGGGAATGGTGGCACACACCTGTAATCCCAGAACCCAGGAGGCTGAGGCGGGAGGATCGCCATGAATTCAGGGCCAGCCTGGGCTACACAGTAAATTCAAGGCCAGCCTGAACTACATAGTGAGATGCTGGCTCAAAAAAAAAGAAAAGAAAAAGTGAGGAAAAGGACCACAAAACTCAAGCCCACATGGTTCTGGAGTCCCACATGGGGAGGCCACACGTGGTCATCCAGTGTCCTTCTCCACACATGGGTGTGGGATTTACACATCTCGCCCATGATGCTGATGGTTTTAACACTCCCTAGAATGTGACAGTCTCGGGACCCATCCCTGATCGTATGAGGACACTATACAGCAGGAAAGTTGCCGGACATGTCAGTGGTATGTTCATGAAGTATACCTGCTATGAACACAGCTAATTCTTTTCGGGGTGTGTGTGGTTTACTGGGGATGGGACCCAAGGTTTGTGCTTTCCAGGCAAGTGCTCTACCACTGAGATGCATGCCCAGCCCACCCCTCTTTTTAATTTACTTTGAGGTCTCCCTAAGTTGCCTAGGCCAGCCTCAAACTTGTGACCTTCCTGCCTCAGCCTCCCAGATAGCTGAGATGACAGCTGTGCACCACTGTGCCTAACTACAGCCAGTTCTTCCAAACAAACTCCCAGAGGGAAGAAAGCAGTAATTTTTTTTTTGGTATCAGGGATCAAACTCAGGACCTTGTGCTTGCGAGGCAGGTAGTGGAACCACTGAGCTAAATCCCCAGCCCTTAAGCAGTAATTTTGAGAAATCAGAATACTTCATACCCAGGAGGCGTTGGAAAGCCAGCTGGGACCCAACTAACTCTTCTGACAGCCACAGAATTGCAGGGAGCCTGCAATGCAACACAGGCTGAGCGAGGATCCTGCTTTCAAGAAACCAGCCTGCTTGATGAAGAGGGGCTAACACTCCACTGAGATTCTTTTCTTGGTAACTAATGGTTCCACCCACTCCCCTATTATAGGCATTTTCCCAAGTAAATACAATCAACTGAAAGAAACTGTGTAAAGCATTTGTGAGAAGCATCCACTCCAATGCCTGGCTGCCAACAGAGGTGCACAAGAGCTGAGTGGGTGCCGGCAAAGCCCCACAAGGGCCATTCATTCATGTGCTCGCTAAACCATAGAACAGACACATCCAGCCTCCTGTTCTGCTCCCCCAGGTTTACAATGGTTGCTAATCCTTTCTTTGTTGTTCAGAACAAACTGTCCAGTGGTGCCCACCTTGCAGGGAGGTGATGGGGAAGCTCAAGGCTACTGCAACGGTCAGGGTGCCACGTAAGCATGGTCACTACTACAACTGTTTTAATATGGTCCAGCATCAAAAATGACTTCAAATGCCTGTAACCATGTATGGGAAAAGAATCCATAGCTTCTGTCAAGCCCTGAAAGGGTCTATGACTGCAAACGGCACCAGCAGACAGACTGGCCCTCTGCATACCAGGCAGCCAACCTCACCACGGCTTCTGCACCCTCTAGGAACACGCTAACACACACCAACCTCCTGTACTTTCCTTTCCTGCCAAGAGATCACAGGTTTTTCAAGGGGCAGCTATGTAATCCAAAACCTGTTCATTTGAGTTGTACTTGTTTTAATCATGTATATGAGGGCTGGGGATGTACCTCAGCAGTATAGCACTTGTCTAGCCTGCACAAAGCCCTGGGTTCAATTTCTAGTACCAAAACCAAACAGTAAGAATATTACATAAACTCATAAAACAGGAGCTAAAAGTGTTTCTCCAAAAACTGAGGTGAAGCCTAGTGAAGCTGGGCGTGGTGGTGCATACCTATAACCCTAGCCCTCCAGGAGGCTGAGGCTCAGGGATGCAAGCTCAAAGCCAGTCTGGGTAACTTAATGAGAACCTGTCCCAAAACAAAAAGGGCTGGGGCAGACCTCAGCACTCCCTGGGTTCAACCCCCACGAGTGTTAAAAACAACAACAAAGTAAGTTTAAAGCTCTGGGTATAGTAAAAGAATGAAGGCAAAATATCTTTTGAAATGTTGGTGAGGCTGCCACAGGCCGCAGGGAGGAATGCTGGCAAAGGTACCCGGCTCCTTGGCCTTGACAGTGACAGCAGTGGCAGACACACTAACCATGAACCAGCAGAACTTTCTGTGATATATGGAAGCTATAGTTTGATCCCCGGTACCCCCCCCAAAAAGGGGGGGAGGGATATATGGAAGCTGGGATTCTTTGGGAAACTGGAATCCTCAAAATAGTGTGGCTCTGCTAAACAATGAGATGGGTGAAAGCATGCTATGGAAAGCAAACATCGTACCAACTAGAGGAGTATCAGTTCAGTATTGCTACTTCAAAGGGCATATCTTAGAACCAAAGACATCCTGTAATCCCAGCACTCAGGAGGCTGAGGCAGGAAGATTGCCACGAATTCCAGGCCAGCTTGGACTACAGTGAGACCCGGTCTCAAAAAAACCAAAAAAAAAAAGTTAAATGAGATTTTCTTTATGCTTAAAAAAATGCTGTAAAGTATGTGAGAAAACAAACTGATTCTAAGTTCTTGGTTCATTTCAGAAAAATCTGTAGCTATGTGGTTCACATAGGACATTTAACAAAGAATTTTGATAAGTGGAACCAAACTGAAAGCAAAGATTGGCCCCTAATGGAGAGCACTAAAGTAATGTACATTTGTGCTTTAAGTTAAAAATAAAGTTCAGATAGGTTTAAAATTTCATAGGACTTTAAGAACTGTGGTCTCAAATCCATCAGATTAAGAAGATTTTTACTGTTCTACTCTGAAAATGCTATTTCCATCCTCTACTATGATTAATAAAATACACAGGGCAAAAACTCAAATAGCTGTCCCCTCTGAGCCACAGTAGTCATTAGCCTTGACTTGAAGCTCAGAGCATTACTGTTTTCTAAAATCCATACCTTTGGGATTTTGGCTCCTAAGTCCTGATACTGCTTGGGGTTTTTCAGGAAATTCACAAACTCCATAATTTCCAATTTGGCTTCTTCACAGCCAGCTACATCTGCAAATCGCACATCAATGTTGTTCTTCAGGATCTTGGCTGTTGTCTCACCAACACTGAAGAGGCCTCCTCCTCGCCCGCGGCGCCCGGCCCCCATCGAGTGCCTCCTCACAGCATAGAGAAGGATGCTAACCAGAAGAAGGGTAGGCACCAGGCTTCCCAGGAAAGAGCTAGAAAACCAAGAAAATCACTCATCAACATTCACTCCAGAGAAAGGTCAGAACACCACTTTTAGCCAGGAAGAGCAGACGGCTCTAGTTGTGCTGCCCCAAAAGGGGCAGTTTCTTCCTGAAACGTGTCCACATCAGTCCATAGGTTCTGCCTTCCCCACCCCACCAGGCCTTCTGCAGCGTGGGTTGGGGCAGGAAAGGCAGTGGATGCCGCAGCCTTGGATGCCTCTGTCACATGCCTTCCTCTGCAGCCCACAGGCCTGCACAGGCAGCTGAGGGTAATAGCACCCATCCTGTCTCAGCACCGTCTTTCTCTTTCCTCTAGTGCATGATGAATCTCTTCCAGTTTTATCTATATTTTACTTTTTCACTTGTAATAAACATCAGCAAAAGAGTGAGAGTTCTTGTGCCTTCCAGGGGCCAGCCTGGACAATATAGCAAGACCCCATTTCAAAAGAAAAAAAAAGGAGAAAAGACTAAATACATATTCCTTCATTACAGGAATTATAAATTTCAGCAGATGCCTATACTGTGCTTGAAAAGATGCATACTCCAAAACAGGTTACATGGGCCGGGGATTTAGCTCAGTGCTTCTGGCGCCTGCCTCGAAAGTGCAAGGTCCCGAGTTCGATCTCCGGTACCAAAAAAAAAAAAAACAAACAAAAAAAACAGGTTACATGACAAACTTTGGTGTTCATAATCAGAAGCCCTGGATGTGAGGGCGATCTGGCTGCGACATATCACCCCATTGATTGCCAGGGTTGATTCGGCTGATCTGGCTGGCTAGGCAGGTGTCCCCTGCCTCCCTCACCGCTCCATGTGCTGCGCGCTCAGTTGAAGAGGACGACCACCCCCGATAGAGGAGGACCGTTTCCTTGGTCAAGAGTATACGAGTAGCTAGGCTCCTCTGCTAGAACCTCCAAACAAGCTCTCAAGGTCCATAATCAGAAGCCCTGACTATAATTTCTCATCATCCAACTCATCCCACAACTCACCCATCACTCTCAGTGGTGTAGACCACTGCGGCCTGGTTGGTGGGTTCGATCCCCAGCTCCCACTGAGCAGACTCGAGGTTCCGCTCAAAGATATCAACACTGCCGATGTTGAACCACACAAACTTCTGCAGAGATGGAGAGCACGGATGGGCTGCAGCACAGAGTCCCACAAAAACACAACCCTATACATACCCACAGCCTGCATGCTCATTCACCAGATCCTCTCTCAGCAGAGCTCTTCTTCTTAGTCTTCATCACACATCTGGGCAAATCTCACCCTAAGGCTGGCCCCAAGGGTAACTGCAAACAGCAGAAACTCCTTGGTTCTAGTCCCACAAAACCGCCATGCCTTAAGTTCTAGACAAAAGTACAAAATGCTGCAAACACCTGCCAAAGTCTGCCTTAGTCCTTTAGTCTTTGTCTTTTATTCTTCTCCTAAACCTTGCCCAGTGTTCTCACACACTGCTCGGCAAAACTGAATCACAGTTAACAGGGGTTTTTTTGGTACTGGGGATCGAACTTGGGACATTGTGCTTGTGAGGCAGGCAGCGGAACCACTGAGCTAAATCCCCGAACCCCCCACAGCTAACAGTTTTATGAGAGTGTCTACCCTACCTGAAAGACACATTCATGAATACAAAATAGTGAGGTAAACCTCGCAGGAACAGAGGAGGCATTCTATACTTTCCATTATGAAAAAGCTGTGTCTGGAGTCCTGGGTCTTAAACCCACTCACCGCAGAAGAGGTCCCTGGGGCAGGAATAACCCGCACAAACTGTTTGTTCACGACTTCTAGCCGGTCCACCTAGGAGAAAGGGAAAAATATGCAGAACAGATAAGGCAGAAAGTAGGAGACTCAAGCCAACCATGGGAAGTGTCACAGGCTCCTGTAACTGACCATATACACTCTGCATACCAGATCCAAGCTCTGTCTTCCTACTAATTCCAATACTTCATGTGGGGCATAACTCTATTTCTACTACAGGAACAAAGGAATGAATTCAAAAAGAGGGTTTTTTTTGGGGGGGGGTCTGCTTTTTTTTTTCTTTCTTGAAACAGGGTCTTGCTATACAGTTCAGGCTGATCTTGAACTCACAGAGATCCTTCTTCCATAGTCTCCCAAGTGCTGCTATCACAGGCATGCACCACCACACCTAGCTAAGAAGTTTCCAAATTTGGTACATCTGAGCACCAACATTCCAGATTGGCTTAAAAACTCAAAAAGATTACAAACAAGTTTTTTTTGTTTTTTACAAACAAGTTTTATACTGACAGTACAGCAAAGATAAATACATAGCTGATTCTGAAATATTTTTTTCATCTAGCTCTAGTTATAAGAAAACAAAGAAAAAAATGTAGCCCTGAAGGTTCATGAGCTGCCACGACCAGCAGACAACAGCAACATAAAAAATTCTTGAGGATACAATGATAATACTGTTGTTCCTCCTGCTCATCAGAGAATCTTTTTTTTTTCTTTTTTGTGAGACAGGGTCTCACTATGAAGTCCAGGCTGGCCTGGAACTCACTATATAGACTAGGTTGGCCTCAAACTCACAGTGATCCTCTTCTATCAGCCTCCCAAGTGCTGGGATTACAGCCATGTACCACCACACCTGGCTCTCATCACAGAATCTTGTTTCTATTTTTCAATACACAGGAAATCAAACCCAGAGCCCCTCTACCACTGAACTGCATCTCTAGGCTTTTTCATTTTTTATTGTAATATACAATCTTAATAAATAACCCAGGCAGGACTTGAGCTTGTAATCCTCCTGCCTCAGCTTCCCTCAATACTGGAATTATAGGCATGCATCACCATGTCCAGCCATCACAAAATCTTAAACCTGAACAATACAACTTCTCTTGGAAGTTAATGAAGCCTGAGGGTTGTGATTAATGCATGTTCATTAAGCATGCTAGCACTGGAAAAGACCTCAGGGAAGCACTGGAATCTGTCCAGAATCCATGCACTGGAAGGCATCCTGGGCTCACCATCTCCATCTCCCCCTCCTCACGCCTGCACCTGCAGGTGGCAGACCCACAGCAAGCAAGGGCTGCAGCAGCTCTGCCCCCACTACTGTAAGGAAAGTTGCCAAGAGTCTCCCTGGTGATAGGCATGGGCCCTGTAGTCAGACAAAAAGCCCTGGCCACAAACCCCGGAGGGAAACAAGAGTTCCCTACAGACCTCATCACATAGAAGTGCAGATCTAATACCACATTACTTAGCAAACACTCTCCCGAGGGCACCTGAGAGGCAACGCATCTCCTCTTCAGTTTACACTGAAGTCTGAGCTGGCTTCACCCAGCCTCGGCATCCTGATGAACAAGCCTGCCTCTCATGAAGGGTAAGAGAGGACTCCCCATGCCACAAGCTCTTCCATACAAAGCCCTAGCCCCAGCCTAAGGGTGGTGATGCATCTCTGTAATCCCAGCACTTGGGAGGCTGAGGCAGGACAGTCGTGAGCTCCAGATCAGCCTGGGTTACATAGCATGTTCAAGGCCAGCATGGGTTACATGGCAAGAACCTGTCTCAAACAAAAAAACAAACATCCCAAACCCCTGGCCAGCAAGGGCCCACGACACAGTGTATGAACCAGACATAAGACTGAAATTCAACGATCAATGGACAGGGGCCGGGGATCTAGCTCAGTGGTTCCACCACCTGCCTCGCAAGTGCAAGGTCCCCAGTTCGATCCCCGGTACCAAAAAAAACACAAAAAACAATCAATGGACAAATAACTAAGTCTCAGAGGACAGGCTTAAAAAATAGTCCATGATGTTAAAGCAGCCTTTCTACTCAGCCAGAAAGTGGCCTAACACCTTTCTGTAGTTTCTAGAAAAGGAAAACTGCCTCTGGGCTCTGCCCTGAAGCGGGCCTACTCAAAACATCCACCACGTAGAGGACTGACTCTCAGCCCAGCCTGGAGCTCACACCCTCTTCCGGGCTGAGCAGGCCTGCAGGGTCCCACAACAAAGCACCTTCCTTCCCAGTGGATATGCTGTAAGTTCCCTCACCAAGCCTCTGGCCAGGTAATACTGCACAAAGTGCTTCCAGGTGATTTCTTTTCCAGGATCTCGAAAACAGAAGTAGAAAACTCCCACAGCAACACCTGCCCCCAAAACGGCCAGATTTCGGAAATCCTTGTCATCCCAGGGAAACTCTCCCTGTGGAAGAAAAGATAACATATTTTCCATGTAAATGAGTTCTTTTTTTTCCTGCAGTGCTGGAGACCCAACCTGGGGCCCACCCATGCTAACCAAGTGCTGAGTCACACCCTCAGCTCTAGGGTGGTTTATGAAAACATGATTTCTCTTTTCAGATGTTATTGGAGTTGTCCAAACCATCCCCTCACAAACTACACAAAGGGCCTCAGGTGTCCAGTGAAGCAGAATCATTCCTCTCCAGAGAAAAACCTTTACACAGGATACAAGTACACATCACACTTGCAGCTTACCCGTCAGCCCAGGAGCAGCAGAAACCCATGAAGAGCTCTGCTCTGGATCTATCATCTGGATTCTCTTTTGTCTGGGTCTTTAAAAACTCAAACGGAACAGCAACACAGCTTAAGAATCTTTGTTTGTTTGGTTTTTTGGTACCTGGGATCGAACTCAGGACCTTGCGCTTGTGAGGCAGGCGCCAGAACCACTGAGCTAAATCGCTGGCCCACAGCTTAAGAATCTTTAAAGTAATATATGAGCTTGGCCCCAGGCAAGCACAGATTGCTACTGCTTGAGTGTGTATCTCCCTGTGAAACTCACATTAGAGCCTTACCCCAAGGTGATATTAAGAGGGGAAACGAGGGCTCCATGCTCCGAAATGGGATTAGGGTTTTCTTGTTAAAGGGCTTGAAGGAAAGGGCTGGTCTCTTCCACCATGTGAGGACACACCCCCTTCCCCTCTGCAGGAAGCAGTACTCAAATAGCATGAAAGGTGCCTTGGAAGCAGAGACCAATTGCTCACCTGACACTGGACCTGCTGGCATCCTGACCTTGTGCTTTATAGCCTGCATAACTTTGAGCACACAGTGTTTATAAATTACTCAGAATAAGGTATTTTGTCATAGGAGCAGAAATGGACTAAGACAAAGATAACAGAACCTCAGCTCTGCAGGCGCTACATCCTTTGACAAAGTAACAAGGTGTCTGGGCCCAGTCCTGTGATGCACACAAACCTTCTGCATCCGTTTCCACCAGGCAAAATTATGCCCCGGCCCTCCTCTCTTGCCTCCATCTCTTCCAGGCCCAGCATTCTTTGGCTCACCAGTTTCTAAGAAAAAACAAAGTTGAATTATGAGACATGGTAAAAATTTATATAAATTTTAAGGATAAAACTTGAGTCTTCATAGAAGTGTTCCATCTGTAACAAGGCATGTTACCACAGATCCTGGTATGCTCTTATGTATTTCTTCCCATTTCTTAGTCATGAGTACCTAAGAAGGAGTTTTCACAGGAAAAACATCTGATAATACAGACTTTGATACCAAAACCCAATTCACATCACCAAAGTGTGATAGGACTTAATAGATTATTCACTGAGGCTTAGATCCAAAGCTGAAGAGGCACAAAAAGATGAAGACAAAGGCAAAGGACAGAATGACTAGGGAGCAAAAGCCAGCTCCCACAAGCACCCAGAAAAAAAGGTCAACCTCACACATACAGGCCCACCTGCCTGTCATTTCCTAGGAAGATTAACCCACAAACTAGTGATTACTTCAAAAATACTCAGATGTAAACCTTTACCTTTTCTTGGAGCTGCTGATTTGTCAGAGTCTGTGTTTCTTCCACTCCTCTTAAAGACTTTTTCAAACCCTTAGGGATAAAAATGAAGAGGCTTTAAAGAAAAAAAAAGTATACTCAAAACAAACAATTCAATTAAAGCCGAAGAGGAGACTGTCAGGAAGATGGTTGAGTAGTGAGCAGCAAAGAAAGAGCCTCTCCAAGATCTGGTGTCCTGACACTGGAATATAGTGGTGCGAGGAGAAGAACAAGGAAGGAAGTGGGTCCCCAGGACCCAGGAAGGATCTGAAGTGAGAACTGAAGTCTGCAGGGACAGTGAAGAGAGAGACTTTAACAAAGAGGAAGGAAGTAGTAAGCAGAGCTCTCTCCCAGAGCCTGGACTCACAGCATGGGAACGGCAAGCTGAACCTGCAGACGCACAGTGACTATTGGTGACCCCAGAGGCCTCCACAGAGAAACTCACCAGTGAAACAGAGCAGTGGACACACGGACTGAGGTGGCTGGTGAGTTTTCTGGGTTTAGACCTCACCCAGGAGAGGGTGATTAGCCAGTACCCATCTTGCAGAGGGGCCAACTGAGCTTGGAACACAGAACAGCTAGGGGCCAACCCCATCCAGTGGCTCCTGCTGCTTTAGTGCAGGTGCTGAGTTCAATTCAGCAGGAGGTCAGGGAGCAGAGTTGAAGCTGGCAGGAGACACACTGTTGTAGGCTCAAGGAATCCAGTTCCAGCCTCATATTCAGAAACTGGCCTGAACTTCAGAGGAACTAAAGGGGCAGGCTGGCTGAGATTATCCACTACCACAACGTGAAGCTGCAGTTGGCTTGCTGGAATTAATCAATTTGGCTCTGGATTCTGTTTCCCCACACTGCCTAATAGTGACAGCAGAGACACACTTTGAATTGGACGATTGGGGTTTTTTTAAATCTTTTTTCTGTTTTTCCTCCATTCTAGTTCTTGTTTTGTTTTGTTTAGTTTGTTTTGTTTTTTTTAGGTACCAGGGATCGAACTCGGGACCTTTTGCTTGTGAGGCCGGCACCAGAACCACTGAGCTAAATCCCGAGTCAGGTTTAGTTTTTTCTTGATTATTAGAACACACTGTCTAGGTTTTTTTATTTGTTTTGGTACCGGGGATCAAATTCGGGTCCTTGTGCTTGCGAGGCAGGCAGTGACACCACTGAGCTAAATCCCCGGGCCAGTGTCTAGTTTTTTGGGGTTTTTCTGGTACCGGGGATCAAACTCTGGACCAGGCACTTGCAAGAATGTCTAGTTTTTTTGTTCTGTTCTTGTTTTTATTTTTTCCTTTTCTCTTTCCCACCTGTCTTCTTCACCAGTTTCCTAAAGTTTGTCCTTCAGCCTTGCTTCTGATCTCTTCCTCTTCTTCTATTTGTTTTTTTCCCCTAACCCTTTTTAAATCTTCTCCCCTAAGGGTAAAATCACCATATTAAGGGCTTATTTATTACATACAATTTTTGGATTTGTTCTAGATTTCATCATATAACCACAAATCTAGTTCATATGGTTCAATATGGTTCAAAGCAGCAAATTAATAGTTATCACTTTTGTCATTTTCTAGGCTGTATTTGATGCTACTGTTCTTGTTGATTGTACTATTTAGCCAAGGTGACATAAAATGTGCTAATCAGTTGTTTCTCTTGGTATACCAAGACAGATTGCCTCAGGGTCTTGCCAAAGAACTGGCAGCTGAGCCAAGTAGGCAGAAACTTCTCATCCCCAGTAAATAAAAGAGGTAGGATCTTGCAACACACTTAAAACCCAAAAGCCAACTGCATTTGGAAGACACTTTTGAGAAGTAGTCATTTCCTAAGGGCTCTGAATACTGGCAACAAAGCTACTCACCACAAGCAATTTACAAGCATCAACCCAGGAATCAAACTTAAAAAAAAAATAGAAAAGGAGAAAACACTTAAACAAGATGCAATCCCCCTAGACTTTCAGCTCATCAGAGGCAAACTCTGGGGGCAATGAGGTGGAATAATCCAAAAGCCACCCACCTGGACTCACTGAAGTGGTTACAGCAGAAGTAATAAAGCAGATGAATGAGGCTCTAGAAAAAAATCAAAGCAGAAATAATTTCCCAGATAACTACAGAGATGCTGACCAGAATGAAAGACATGCTTAGTGACTCTAGAGCAGATACAGATTTTAAAAAAACAGAGAGCTCAGGAAATGACGGGAACCATGAATGCCCAGAGTAGGAAAGAAATGGACATCATGAACATCCAGCACAGGAAAAAATTGGAAACCATCCATGTGCAGCATAGGAAAGAAATGAAATCCAGTAAACAGATTCAAACAGATATCCAGGAGATTAAAAACTCCACTGAAAGTGGATATCAGAATATCAGATATAGAAGACAGGATTACAGCTACTGATCACGAAAAAAGACTTCTTAAAAATAGCAAGGGACTCTGAGAAATCAATCCAGCAACTGCTAAATGATACAAAGAAGAATAACTAAGGTTGACTGGAGTCAATGAAAAAGCAGGAGACACCGTAAACAACATAAAAAACCTGTTCACAAAAGTAAAGGCAGAAAACTTCCCAAACAGAGAAAAAGAACTGGACATACAAGTAAGTGGGACATATAGGACTCCACTTAGCCATTATAAAAAAAAAACCTTCCCCAAGGCATATAAGAGTCAAGATTCCAGAAATTCAACACAAGGACAGAATATCAAAAGCTGTTAAGAGAAAAGAAACCAATCACCTATAAAAGAAAGTCCATCAGAATCACAGCAGACTTCTCAACACAAACTCTCAAGTCAAGGACAGCTTGGAGTGAAGTATTTCAAGTCCTAAAGGAAAACAACCTTTAAACCAGACTGATGTACCCTGCAAAACTATCTTTCAAAATTGACTGAGAAATAAGATACTTCCATGAAAAGAACACCTGAAGAAATTTATGACCACCAAACCAGCACTCCAAAGTGTTCTGAAGGATATTCTAGAAAGAGACAATGAAGATTACAACTCCAACAAAATGAATCCACCAGGCAAGGTAAGAAATTAAACAGAAAAGGAAAGAAGAACGCCAACAACAGGAAAATAACATGACAGTGATAAGACAATACATGTTATAACCATCAATGTTAATGGTTTCAATTCACCAATCAAAAGAAACAGACTGGCAGAATGGATCAAGAAGCAAGATCCAGGGCTGGAGATGTAGCTCAGTGGCACTGAGCCTGCCTGCCAAATGGAAGGTCCTGAGTTCGATTCCTGGTACTGGAAAAAAATGGTAAAGAAGCAAGATCCAACAATATGCTGCATACAAAAAACACATTTAATTCAAAAACAAATTCATAGACTGAAAATCAAAGGTTGGAAAACAATATTCCATGTGACAGGAACCTGGAAAAAACCAGGGGTAGCTATTCTATTTGCAGACAAAGTAGATTTCAAGCCAAGACTCATTAAGAAAGATCACTATATCCATGGAAAGGGAATAACCCAAGAGAGATAACAATGATAAATATAAGGGCCAGGGATTTAGCTCAGTGGTGCCGCTGCCTCTCCCACAAGGATAAGGACCCAAGTTCAATCTCTGGTACCAAAAACAAAACAATGATAAATATATATGCACCAAAAAACAGTGCACCCAACTATACAAAACAAATATTAATGGACATGAAAAATCATATAAACACTAATACAGTTGTAATGAGGGACCTTAGTACACCACTGTCACAAATAGACAGATCAACTAGACAAACAATTAACAATGAAATATTAGAACTGAACCAAACTTTTGAACAAATACACTTAGATGTCTACAAATACACTTAGATGTCTACAGTGTTCCATCCCACAACACCAGAATAAACATTCTTCTCAGTTGCACATGGGACTGTCTCCAAAATAGACCACAAACTAGCTCATAGAACATGCTTAAGTAAATGCAAAGGAACTGAAATTATTCCATGCATATTATTAGATCATAGTACAATGAAATTAGAAATCAACAGCAAAAGAAACCACAGGAACTTCATAAACACATGGAAATTAAATAACACCCTCCTAACAACCAATGGGTCACAGATTAAATTAAAGAAGAAATCAGGGGGCCGGGGATGTAGCTCAGTGGTTCCAGCGCCTGCCTCACAAGCACAAGGTCCTGAGCTCGATCCCCAGTACCAAAAAAAAAAGAAATCAGGGCTGGGAATTTAGCCCAGTGGCACCATGCCTGCCTCACAACCCCAAGGTCATGAGTTCGATTCCAGGTACCAAAAAGAGAAATCAGACAGTGTCTACAATTAAATGATAATGACAATACAACATAGTGGAACTTACAGGATCCAATGAAAGCAGTCTTATAAGGGAAATTTATACCAGTGAATAACCATAACAGGAAAACAGAGTAGGCTCAAATAAACAACCTAATGTTGAATGTCAAGTTTCTAGTAAAAGAAGAGTAAGTCAAGCCCAAAACTCCTATGAGGGAGAAAATTACAAAAATAATAGTGGAAAAAAAAATAGTAAGAGTAGTGGGCTGGGGATTTAGCTCAGTGGCACCACCCTGCCTTGCAAGTGCAAAGTCCTGAGGAGTTCAATCCCTAGTACCAAAAAAAAAGGTAGAAATTAATGCAAAGACTAAAAAAAATATGAAGAATCTGGGGCCGGGGATTTAGCTCAGTGGTTTTGCCACCTGCTGCACAAGCGCAAGGACCCGAATTTGATCCCTGGTACCAAAAAAAAAATGAAGAATCAATGAATCAAGGAGTTGGTTCTTTGAAAGATTACATAAAATTGACAAACCCTTAGCCAACCTTATCAAAAGAAAGAAAGAAAAGACTCAAATTCATGCAATTAGGAATGAAAAGGGTAAAATCACAACAGATCCTGCAGAAATCCAGAAGATCATCAATATCTACTCCCAGAATCCATATGCTAATAAGATGGAAAATATAGAAGAAATGAACAGATTCCTAGATATGTATGAATTACCAAAACTGAATCAAGAAGATATAAAAATTCTAAATAAACTAATATCAGCCAATGAAATTGAAGATGTTATTAAAAACCTACCAATATGGCCAGGGATTTAGCTCAGTGGTTCTGGCGCCTGCCTCGCAAGTGCAAAGTCCCAAGTTCAATCCCTGATACTAAAAAAACCAAAAAACCTACCAACAAAGAAAAGCCCAGGCCCTAATGGATTCATGCTGAATTCTATAAGAAATTTAGAGAAGACCTACTTCTCAAACTCTTTAATGAAATTGAAAGGGACGCAATACTCCCAAATTCATTCCTGGAAGCAAGCATTACCCTGATTCCAAAACCAGAGGATTCAACCAAAAAAGAGAATTATAGGCCAATTTCCCTAATGAACATACATGCAAAAATCCTCAATAAGATACTGACTGGGCTAGGGATTTAGCTCAGTGGTTCCGCCACCTGCCTCGCAAGCGCAAGGTCCTGAGTTCAATCCCTGGTACCAAAAAAAAAAAAAAAGATACTGACAAAACAGGATGCACTAAATCATTAAGAGGGTTATACAACATAACCAAGTTGGATTCATCTCAGGGATGCAGAGATGGTTCAACATATGCAAATCAATAAATGTAATACACTTTATTAACAGAGCCAAGGACAAAAAACATATGATCCTCCCAATAGATGCAAAAAAAGTGTCTGACAAGGTCCAACATCCAATCGTGATAAAAGCCCTACAGAAAATTGGTATAGATGGTTTTTATCTCAATCTGATAAAAGCTATCTATGACAAACCAAAAGCCAGCATCATACTAAATGGATAAAAACTGAAAGCATTCACTGTAAAATCAGGAACAACCACATGCCTGTAATCCCAGCACTTGGGAGGCAAAAGCAGGAGGATCACCCAGCCTGGGTTACACTGTGAGTTCAGGGCCAGCCTGAACTACAAAGAGACTCTGTCTCAAAAAAACAAAACAAAACAACACACAAAGTAAATAAAATCAGGAACAAGACAAGGATGTCCACTGTCGCTACTCTTGTTCAATATAGTTCTAGAAACACTAGCCAGAGCAATTAGACAGGAGAAAGAAATAAAAGGAATAAGGATAGGAAAGGAAGAAGTTAAATTATCATTATTTGTGAATGACATGATACTCTACAAAGACACTTCAAACCCCACCAAAAGACTTCTAGATTTTTTTTTTTTGTACTGGGAATTGAACTCAGGACCTTGTGCTTCCCAGGCAGGCACGGCCCTAAGACTTCTAGATTTCATAACCAAATTCAGTAGCGTAGCTGGATACAAAGTCAACACTCAAATCAATAGCCTTCCCATACATAAATAACAAATACACTGAGAGGGAAATTAGAGAAACAACCCCTTCACAATAGCATCCAAAACAATTAAATACCTAGGAATCAATCTAACGAAGGAAGTAAAAGACCTCTACATTGAAAACTACAGTACTCTGAAAAAGGAGACTGAAGATATCAGAAAATGGAACGATATCCCTCGTTCTTGGATAGGAAGAGCCAATATAGTGAAAATGACCACACTTCCAAAATTGTTACAGATTTAATGCAATTCCAATCAAAATTCCAACAGCATATCTCACAGAATTAGAAAAAACAATCCTAAATTTCATTTGGAACCAGAAGAGACCTAGAATAGCAAAGGCAATTCTGGGCAACAAAGGCAAGGCAGGGGGTATCACAATCTCTGACCTGAAATTATACTACAAAGCTACTGTGATAAAAACAGCATGGTACTGGCAAAAATAACAGACCCTAGGATCAATGCAACAGACCAGAAGATGCAGAAACAACTCCAGACATACTCAACTATCTAATCTTTGACAAAGGAGCCAAACATCCTCACTGGAAGAAAGACGGCCTCTTTAATAAATGCCACTGGAAAAACTGGCTTTCAACATGCCAAAGATCGAAACTAGAGCCATATCTTTCACCAGCCACTAACCAAAAATCAAAATGGATCAAAGAGCTAAATACTAAAGCAGAAACACTAAATCTGCTGGAAAAGAGAATAGGCAGAAACTTGAGGCCATAGGAGACTTCATTAACAAAACCCAGACCCCACAGGAAATGCTACAAAGAATCAACAACTGGGACCTCATCTTATTAAAAAGCTTTTGCACAGCAAAAGAAACCACCAACAGAGTGAAGAGACAACCCACAGGGTGGACAAAAATTTTTACTAGTTACTCAGATAAAGGAGTGTTATCTAGAATACATAAAGAACTCAAAAACATCAGAACCCCCCCAAATTTAAAGACCCAATGCAAAAAAAAAAAAAAAAAGACAAAAAATTATGATGTTAAAAAAAAAGACCTGGCCGGAGATTTAGCTCAGTGGTTTCACCTGCTGCGCAACCGCAAGGACCAGAGTTCAATTCCAGGTACCA